CCTCGCTCGCAGAGTTTTTCAAGGACCAAACGAACGTGTTTTTCATGCTCTTCTACATTCTTCGAAAATATCAAAATATTATGTAGATAAATGACAACAAAATCGTCAAGGTGCTCTCAAAAGATATCATTCATCATGTGTTGAAAGACTACCGGAGCATTGGTAAGATCGAAAGGCATGATATTATATTCAAATTGGCCATACCTTATACAGAAAGTTGTCTTCCATTTGTCTCCTTCTTTGATTCGCACGAGGTTGTAAGCTCTCCCTTAGATCAATCTTTATAAAGATCCTTGCACGCCCAAGTTGCTCTAGAAGACTTGATATTAAGGATAAAGGATAACAATTCTTCTTTGTCACCTTGTTGAGACCTTGATAATCCACGCACATCCACAGCAAGCCATCTTTCTTCTTCACAAATAAGATTGGTGCCCTAGCTGGCAACTTTGAATGAAGAATGAAGTTCTTGGCTAGATTCTTGTCAATATACTTCCGCAACTCCGTTAACTCCATCTGCGACAAATTGTAGATTGGGCCAAAAGGTGGTTGTGCTCCTTCGTGCAAGTCTATGGCACAATCGTATGGTCGATGCTCCGGTAGCATGTCGACATTCTTCTTTTGAAACACGTCTTCAAAATCCTTATATTACTTTGGTATGTTTGTTGTGGAAATCTTCTCTCTGGTAGTTGGAGTTACATAAATGACAAACAATGTGCCTTCTTTGGACGATGTTACAAATGCTCTTGCTCCAATAAATAAGGATTTTTTGATTCGGGATCTTCTAACATGCTTACTCTCGGAATGTCCTATAAGAAATGTCATCCTTCATAACCTCCAATCTATAGATGGATTATGCATTGCTAATCAAAAAAGACCAAGAATAACAGGGTTTGACGGAGTTCTAATAATATTGAAAATAATATAACTACTATAGTCTTTAAATGTCACCTTTATAGATTTTGATTCATGGGTGATACTACCAGACAATAAAGGTCGTCCATCTATTACTTCTACGTGAACGGGTATAGCTTTTTGTACTAGAAGAATCTTGTGACGCTTAGTAAATTCTTCGTCTAAAAAGTAAGCAGATACTCTTGAATCTAATAATGCTAAGGTTTTTAGTTTCAGAGGGCGAAAAGATAGAGAAATGGTAAAGTAATGGGCAGATTGAGTGAAAAGAGAGGAACCTGATTGTTGTAGTAGTATTGAATTATTCAGGCGCACGATCCCTGTTGTGGCTAGGCATCCTTGTTTTCCTAAACAAACGCACCTCTGGTCTTGACAATGCGTCGATTTTGCTTCTTGGAGTAGTTTCTAGCTCTGTAGCCTTCTTCATTGCAATACGAGCATATTCTTTCCTTCATACACTGCTTTTTTCTTCTAGAGTTAGAGATTTAATACGTATCGCGTGAATTTGTATGTCTTCCACCTCTGAATGTGAATTCAAGCTGCTTGCTGACATAATTGGAGCTTGGTGAGTCATATGTTGTCATCAACGTTGGTCTTGGCGATGTTGGAACAGGCAGTTATTGTACTTCATAACTTGGCTAATGGTTTCATTGAGCATTCGCAGATTGGGAAGAGATAGTAACAAATCCTTCACGTCATCCCTCAAGCCCCAATAAAATTGACTCATCAATGCTTCCTTGTCCCAGTTGATGTCACACGCTAATTGTCTGAAATTTGATACATAGATTGACGCGGAGTGTACCCCTTGTCGTAGCGACCAAATCTTTGTTGTAGCCCATCGTGCCTTGTCATGTTTGCCAAATACTTTTGCAAATGCATCCAAAAAAGTTTCGAAGTTGTTCAAAATTGATGATTTTTTCTGAAACAAAGGAGCAAACTATGATAGAGCTTGCCCCGTGAGCAAAGTTCCAACCAGTCCAATACGTGACTCCTACATCGGATAACGTTCGAGCTGTAAAGCTATTATCAATCTAATTTGATTGACAAAACCTCAAAACTTGGAATGCGTACCATCGAACTTGTTTGGAAGGCTAATTTGGGGCTCCTTTCATCATAAGACCAATGGTACTTATTGAACTAGAGGCAAAGCTGCTTCTCTTGGTATTGAAGCTTAAAGCTGGTGAATCCTCGATTGTGCCATCCCAGATGCTCCATCATTATGAAGTCTTGCAATGATTCCTTCAATCTCTACAGTTCTTTGTGATAACGTAGCAAGAGTATTCATAATGGTGTCCAACTTGGACTCCAAACTTTCAATCATACTAATATCTTGACCTCCGGCCATTCTAAGAGAAGGAAAGAAATGACTCTATAAGAAGGTAGTATTGGTTTAGAAGAGAGTACTCTACAACCTCTGAAATGCCTTAAAACCTTCAAGAAGAGGAGTAATTCACTCTCTCTAAGAAAGTTAAGACTCCAATATTATAATAGAAGAAATATCAGTTTAGAGGAGGGTAATCCACAACCTCTAAAATGCCAGCACCTTCAAGTAGAGGGATAATCCACACTCTAACAAGAAGGAACTAGCTCGAATATGAAAGATGAATGTAGTCTCGACAAATTGTCACGAATTTAGAATACTCAATGGAAATCTAAACAAAAAGCTCAAGAAGAATATACAAGAACTAGATTAATCAAATGAGTACAAGAACAACACTAGAGAGGTGAGCTAGAACTCAAGTAGCTTCTACAAATTAGGAAGCTTCTCAAGCAGCTTCTATGAATTATGAAGCTTCTCAAGCAGCTTCCACAAGCTTGAAAACTTCTCAAGTAGCTTCTACAAACTACAAAGCTTCTTTAGAACCTTTTAAAATCTTTTACAAATTCCTAGTGTATGTCCTTAAGAGATAGTCATAAGTTAAGCAAATTCAAGATAGATGTACAAAGAAGAATTGTATCAAGAAATTTGTTTTGATGTCATATATGTGTGAAATTGATAATCAAAGACTTGAATTATACTAAAGAATTAGAATACAACCTTGCAATCTCTCATGCTGCATAGTTCTATATTAATTGTATATATTTATTGAAATAGAAAAAATGTAGGTATTTACTTATTTAATTGAGATTAACACCATACTTGGCCTAATTTTTATAGCAAAAAGATTCTAAATGCGAGTGCATATACAAAGACTAAGATGGCATGACATAGCAGGTGCAAACAAATTTGTTGTTTGCAAATGGTTGTATCTACTAATTTTTATTGAAAACGGCTATTTTTCCAATGTTTTATTGTATCATGCAATAGCTTCAAAGACACAACTAGTAAAGCAAGTATGCTTGTGCTACATATTAGTTATAGTTTTGTGACCATGTTGTCATTCCTTATTGCATTTTGACCAAAATTTGTTGTTGCCTATTATTCCCTTCTTAACAATGATATAGTCATAGAAAAGTACAAATTATTTAATGTTGGTGATGAAATCTTTGAATAAATTGTATTGGCTATCATGAAGAAGGCCCATGTTGCAATGTGATTCTACACTTGTTCTATCTACTATTTTCAATCTTCTTCTTTTTCTCTTTCTCTAGCTTATTATCACTTCTTTAGCATATTTTTCAACCATGGGGCTTCAACACAATAGTAACATCCTTCCAAGTAAGCAAGAAAACAAATAGTGTGAGAGAGAGATAATTTCAAAGATTAGAGTCTCAAAAAAAAAAACCCCCCTTCAATTTATTATTAGGTTTTACAAAGATAGTCTAGAAAAAAATTCCAAAAACCACAGACTCTATCCAAATTTATTATTAGGTTTTACAAAGATAGTCTAGAAAAAAATTCCAAAAACCACAGACTCTATCCAAATTTATTATTAGGTTTTACAAAGATAGTTTAGAAAAAAAATCCAAAAACCACAGACTCTATCCAAAAACCTATGGGCCCATCACCCCCAATATCAATTAGGGTGTAGCAATATCAATTAGGGGTTAGGAGTGTAGAATTAACAATTCCCTATATATAGTGATGTCACAGATATATTTCTCAACTTCACCGCACCCTCATCTTCCTAATAATTAAATTATGTGATGTGTTTAAAGTCCTCATCGTCGACTGTAGAAGTCCGTGCAGAAGACGACTCAAAGGCTTGACACTACCCCGAGAATCCTTCGCAACAACTACAATCAAAGAACCTGAAAAGGCATCAGTTACTCTTCGGTTGCATGCCTTGCTGCTGCTGTTGAAGTCGACACGCAATGATGAATTCGCACCAGATGTAAGACCTCGCCGATCGGGAGTTTCGAAGATGTATACACTAAAGTTTTTATTTGATAACTTGCTGCAATGTATGCCTAGATTAGCAATATCTTCGGACCGAACGCAGGGGAGACACGACAAGAAAATTCACAGATCACTAGGTGGAGGGTTTCACCCACTAGCATCGTCTACACGAGATTATGCTGGTGCTTCATCATGTCAAATTCATAATGGTCTTCGAAGCAGGTTGAGATGGTTGAGCCTTGGTGAATGAACACCATCGAAGATAGTCTTCAAGACATACCGCAGGAGGCCCCAATGTTAAGGAACTATTCATGGAATAGATAGTGGTACCAAGACCCTGCAATCATCTCTGCACAGATTTCTAACCTCTTAGCCTTAGAATGAAATGGGTGGATGCTCGAGGTCCGACATCTTTATAACGAAAGCCGAGAGGGAGGAGAAAGATGATGACAGCGTGCTCCACAAGCAATCCGCTAGTTACGTGTAGCAAGATGAAGGATCCCACCATTTACTGCAGAGTTTTTTCGTCAGCCGTCAGCTAAAACTTTTTCAAGTCATGACATTCAAAAATCATCTAAAATCTGATGTATGTACGGCACGCTCAGTTTTTAATGTAGCGTAATGCTGAAATGTCACACATCCACAGGTTGTAGTACATCTAGCACCGAAGTATCTTGAGCTGAATCAAAACCCTAAACCAGGTGGATCGCCGAACTCTATGAAATGCTTTGTGCAACAAGATTAAGACTGCACTCCCTCTGCGGAAATCACTCTAGTAATTACGATTCCCAGCCAGGAGTATAAATAGTAATGATATGAAAACTAGGCCATTGAAGATCGAAGAGGGGCGGCGATCAGGACTTTCTACGAGGCGCCGAAGTTGAGGGGACTCCCGATCAAGTCGGCGCAACGTCAATATGTGGGGTCCAGCACGAATTTTCCACCAGGAATTTCCAACGTCTCATTTGCCACGTTAGCATTCCATTGCTTTGCAGGTGACACATCCCAGGGTGCGAACATCCTCATCTTTGCAAAGTAATGAAGTAGTTGCGAAGCTTCTAAAAATAGATCATATCTCCCCTGAGCCCTGTGCATTTTCTTCTTCTCAACGGATTTATTTTCGTGATGGAGGTAGTCGAAGATTAGAAGCAATCCATTGTGTTCTGTAGCTTCGGAACAATGCTATAAGCATTGCTAGTGCAGATTTCTACGGAGGAGGGTAATGGTGCGAAGGCGGGATTAACAGCACAGGGGCGAACAGTTGGGGTTTGAGGCGAAGCACAAGAATCGTTGTGGAGATCTTGGTGGGAAGGCGCTGAAACATGTGTTGGTTTGAGGCAAAGTGGTAATGCTGTGGAAGGTTTTTAAGAAAGGGAAGAGTTAGCCGACGCCTGAGGTCTTCAGAGCTAGCTTTAGCTTTGTTGTCAAAGTCTCAGCAGTTGCATATGAGAGTGACCGCGAATGTTTTAACTCGTTTTGCAGAAGGTCAAGGTGCTTTTGCAGTTTTTAGCCGAGTTAGGACTGAGCCTGTCAACTTCGGCACATCGTGAGTGTAGTGATCCATCGCTTTTCGGGTCCTGTCCATAGCAGAGACGAGTTACATAAAATCTTCGCGTGATGACGCAATTTAGGAGCTGATCAGTGTAGCTTGAAGGACGGATTCCCAACTTGTCCGCCTGGTCTAAGCTTCGGAAGAAACTCTGCTGAGAACATAGCTATGGGTCCAGGGCTGCCGCCTCAGCTGGCCAGTATAGAGAAGGAAGCGAGGGACATTTTCAAGCTCCTCACGTAAGATTAATTTTTCCCAGCCATATTTTGAGTAAACCTCTCTAATATGACTGAATTGACGCTGGGATTCTGTTGAGTATCCTTTTCTATGCATTGTGAGAGGTAACGGAATTGGAGAGCTGGACGAATTGAGAATTTTGAATCTATGACTCTCTGAGGACTAGCGCCGGAGACATACTCCTTCTTGAGTTGACATTCATCTATTACATAATGCCTGACTAGCATGCGTCTGAGTCTCGGGTTGATGTGACAGGACTGGATTTCAAAAATTAGACATTGTCAAGGATGTGGATAAGCAGAACAAGCAGTTGGAGGATTTAACTGCAAAGATGCGGGAGGCAAAGCGGTAAGCACATCCTTCACTGTGAGGCAACACACTGTTTGTTTACAGTCTAAATTGATTCCATTGATCGATTATTGTACAAAATTTATACTTGTTTCGCTTTTCCTAGCTGAAGTATCTCTGAACTGTCCATTCGTATGCAAACATTCTCTGAGCTAGTGATTGGCTACATCAGGTGCAGTCGTTGTTTAAAGTGAAGCAAGGCCATAACGTCGTCAGTTTGCTGGCATGTTCAATGTTTCTGTGAAGTCTTGAATCGTAATACTGAGTCCTTCTTGCCTCTAATGATGTATGGAATTCTTGGGTCCTGCCAGCCTGATAAAGGAGTTTGACAAAGAAACGAAGGAGGCGGAAAGCACTATAAGTTCTGAATCTGTCAAGACGCTGAATGAGAAAAAGCAAGCTCTGGTACGCCTGGAGATTGCAATTTTTTTTCTCAATTGCGGATATTGAGTAGTTAATACGGACTTCAGTCTTTGACAAGTGTAAATTCCATCTTCAGATCAAGGAGCTCAACTCATTTGTTGCACTAAGAAAAACGTACACAAGTTCGATTGGGAACAGAGAAGAACACCTAGACGGAGGCCTACATGCAAGATCTGCTAGAGGTATCAATGCTCGCCTGGCCTCATGTCGGTTATCCTCCAGCCCTTAAATAATGCATCTCTATTCGTCATACTTCTTCTTTTATAGGGAGAAAATGTACAATTGAATTCATGGCACCCACATCACTTCAGCATCTCGTAGTCTCCTCTATGCACCTAGTCTCAATTACTGTAGCTGTGTCAAATCCAGGGTCTACCCAAATGGATTCACAACCGATGGACGAAGCAACTAAAACTAGAGAGAAGTCTAGTAAGGTATACTTGAACTCACTCAAATGATGTTTTCTATTTTCGGTTTATTATTTTTTTTCATTTCAAAGCCGAACGTTACACATGCTCTTGATGTCTAGACATATCTGGATTTCTCACTTGGCGCACTAAGCTTGTTACTTCATTATCCTGATGTAGGTTTTGGAACATAACATCCATATTGGGACTGAGACAGCTACTACTTCGGAAGATCGAATAGGGCAAACCGTCGTAAGTTAATCCTTCTTCGGCACTCTATTGATTTTAATGGAATTGAAAGCTTCTTGTGCATGTCCTTTTGTAAACCTGTTCAAAAGCGCCGATCCATGCAGTGATGAGGTTGTTAGGTGTCTGTGAGCGTTGTTCCACGTTATTACTTGGTTATGAGGCCCTCGTTTAGGTATATTTAGCTTGGATTGTGGGAGTTGCTCATCATTTGGAAACGGACTCTCAATTCCAATCCATCTAATACTAAGAGAATGCAAGTATGCCTGGCTATTGGACGGATGCTTAGCGGAGTTCATGAGCTCAACAAAGCCTGAGGTTCATGTTGTGTAATGGATCAAAAGTGACGGTGCCGAATGTGAACTTGTTATCGATGCTGTCAGGAGGAGCAACCAAGCAAGCCAAATGATCAAGTTGGAACCACTCGGTTTTCCATGAAAGACGCGTCATTTAAAGAAATCGTGCGCAAGGTATGGCATCAACTCCACTTACCTCAAACTTCTGCTGCACTTCATTGCAGATTATACTGAAATTCTGAACCACAGCCGGGTCTTTAGACGTCTTCAGCTGGAAAATTTCTGCATGTCAGCAGTCGGAATGATTTACGCACTGTATTTGCGGCAACTTGAATTGTCAGCTTTTCACCGCCGAGTTTCAATGCCAGCGACATGACAGCTTGTGTGTAATGTTCATCATCATGCATTCCTTGCCAAATTTACGTTGTCCTGTAACAAGTTCAATTCCACTGTGCAGATGGCAACGAATAGGTGCATAATGGTCGTTGCACTTATTATACTGGTCGCTATAATTGTGATCGTCATCATGACGGTGCTCTCTCGTGCCTCATCTCATCTTTTTTATGTCGAACATATCCTGCAGAATGAGCGGATTGTACTGCCTGTCAGGCAGTTTTCCATGTTACTGCATGCAATTGCGATGTGCTTGGGTGCCACATGCTTTACTCACTGCCCTTGTTTTCTTGACAGCTTGTCCATCCCGAGGGTGAAGTAACGCGTTCAACACCCCCACCTCGAAGAAGGCGGCTTCTGATGACAGCAATGGACTTCCAATGTTAAAATCCTCTGTTAGGCCCACCGACTAATTGGGAATACATCACTTACACTTAATCTTTTTCTTTTTTTCCATTGTCCCTTTCTGTTCGTTCACAACGAGAGTCAATGCTTTTGCCTCTCTGAACGACAGTCTTGTCTATCACATTAGGAACGTACTTAGAGCAGATTTCAGTGGAGCCTTCACAGCGGAATATGTGCCAAGTAAACTTTGCACAACAGAATTACAAGCAACGGCCACTGAAATAGAGGGCTGTTGACACTATGTCAATGTATCCACTGTTGTTGAATGACTTACAGGTAACTCGATTTCCTGAGGAAATTATCCTTGCACCTAGTGTTATTGGAGACTCTCAAATTATAGTAAAAGAATGAAATTCTATCTGACTGGTGCACCTCCTGCTGCGTATGTTTATTACTGAGTTCGAAGGACTATCTGCTTTGGCAAGCGTTTAACATTTTGTAGTCCTTTTCATTCGTTCGTACGGTGTATGCCAACCATTTCAGATTTGTTTTGGATCGGACGTTGCTTTGAGTTTGTCAATTTTGATCAGATCAAAAAACACATGAATTATTTAGATGGAGAGGTTGTTGGTGTTTCAAATAAATCCCAACATTTGCCTATTGCTAAAAGTTCACGTCCAAAAGAAGCCCTAATTCTTGTCAAAATTCCTAGTCTAAATCTTAATTTTAATTTTAAGTTCATTTCAGTTTAGAATTTAATCATTTTGCAAATCAAGTACGATTAGTACTTAAAAGAATTATATGCTTCGAAGGAGTTGTATAAATTGCCACTTTTCATTTTCACAATTACTTTTGATAGTAATTGTAAGAGAGTTAGTTATGATTAGTCACACCTTTTAGATCATTATTCTAAATGCTTCACTTTCACTTACATATTCTATTGAGGATATATAGTCTTAAGTTATTACTTAAATCAATTAAATAAATTATTATTTTTTCTCTCTTATCTTAACATGGTATCAAAGCTTTGGCTCTTCAAACATATGCCTCAAAACCTTGAAATAAGAGTTTATGAAGATGAGCCTAGTGATTTTGTAACTAAAGAACTCATTTTATTAGTATAGAGTTTGATTGAGAGTAGCCCTTATTAGAAGCTCTTTTTGTCTTTACTAAAATATAATATAGATCCAAAAACGTTTCTATAGCTATTTGTTGTTCTCGTTGTGTTCAAGCTTCAATATACCAAAGCAATTGAACTAATAGAGGTGGATTCGAACTCAGGGAAAGATTGGCTATATGAATTGGCTCTGTTAGTGTCACAATTGACTATACTCCAGCTATCTGAAATCAATTATCAAACTACAAAACACCAAGGCTTACTACTTCTGTCTTAATTCAACACATAATCCATTCTATGACTATCAATTCAACAATACTTCCATATTCTTATCAGTTCATCTCTCTTTTACTCTCTTTGTGGTTTAAATATATTCAATTATTGATCTCCAGATTACTTATTATATTTAGTTTCTCAATTCATCACACATAATTCAATATCTTCACTTAACACAATACAATTCAATAATCTCAATTCTCAAGATCATAGATTTTCTCTAAAATGGTCAATCCAAAGTCATATTCCACAATATTCTAATCACGGTTTAAACAATACTTCTTTCAATTACAATTCTTCATAAGCAAATAATAAAAGCAAAGAAAACAAAGAGGTAGCACCAAGCTTACCCTGGCTTACGACTCTTATATTTTGGCCCGGATCTCGTTTTTCTCAACCTCTTTATCCTACCAAAAGATGGACCGTCAGCCAGCAGATTCCAAAGGTTATGAACCTTTGAATTCTTAACTATTTGTTCCACTAACAACCTACTATTACCAACTAAACTGCCTAACCATAAGTCTAATTCTCAAGGTTGTCAATAACCAACCAGTAACTTACCACAAAATTTATTTACATATTCTACACTATTATTAATTTATTTTAAAAAATATTTATTTAAAGAATATTTTAAAGATCATTAATTGTTATGCTCATCATTTTATCTTTTTTGTGAATTTTTCCAACCTTATTCTAGCTATGACCTGTTATGAATGCACTTTAAGCTTATAATATACTAGCTCTTACAATAAATAATTATGCTACATGGAGCATCAAACTTAAGATACTTTTGACCTATTTTGAGTTATGGAACATGATTTAGTATACTAAAGCTCAACTTAAAGCTAGCAATGCTACTACTCATTCAACTTGGAAATTAAAAGATTTAAAGTCATAATTTGTTATAATTTTGTACTATTGTAAAAAATAACTCATCACATTGCAATCTCTTATTACTTTATATTAGATATAGAAATGCATGAAATAATTATAAAGCATTGTAGATTAATTTATATAAACAACTATTATATTTTCAAATAATAGAATTTGATGATATTGTCAAATTTTTAGAAAATTGGAAAAATCTCTTTTAAAAAGTTGTCATTTTTTGTTGTATCTTTATTATTATCCAATAAATTAACTTACTATTTGGAGCTCATAAATTCCTAGAATATGTGTGTAATAACATAAGATGGACTAACCTCCCTTGCATTCATAAAATTATTATCTAATATACTTCAAGAATATGCAATCAATATTTTTATGTTTTTCATATCTTAAATAATTTTCTTTATGTCAAAATAAAATTTTCTATACTACCATTTAATAATATTTTATAAACACAATTTTACAAATCAAATCTCAAAAATTATTTATAATTTCTTTTATCCTTGCCTTCTATATGACTTAATCTTTACCACTATTGTAAGAAGTGCAATCATAAAGCTTCTAAATGTTACAAAAAGAAGCACAACCTTAGTGGTTAAAAATATTAATCAATATTTAATCTACATACAATTATTCTTTTGATAATATCATAATTTTTTTCTACACTATTTAATTCATCATTTATTACTTAGTTATAGTATTTGAATTATAATACTATTCAACATATGCTCCTTCTTTGTCATTTATTTTGTGATTAATATTTATTTTTTAGACAAAAAACCAACTTATTTTGTGACATTAGTTCCTACAATATTCTTGCTTTAAGTTAATATTATTACAAATGAATATTAAAAAATATTCTCGAATTTCTAATGTACTTAAAAATTATTTGCAATAAATCTTTTATCTACTATTAAAAGTATCAATACTTGATATAATATATTTATTTTGAAATAAAATATTTATATAATAAAAATAATATTTTATTATACTCATTTATACCTATTAATTTTTATTTTCATAGAAATTCATCTTTTAACTTTATTTTTAAAGAATAGCATTAATTCTTCTATTAAAAACGATTTAATAAAATTCTTTCTAAAAGTGATTAAAAATTTTAAAAATAGTATTGTTGATTGAACCATCTAACTATATAATTTTAAAATAGAATTCATACGTCTTATTTAGTCATTGGCCTTCTATTCTTTAAGTCCAAATTTCTATTTTGTATATGATGTCATTTCTATAAACACCATAAAAATAATATCTATTTGTTTTCAATTACTAGAACCAATGTCATAAAAATATCCAATAGTTGTAATTACTTAGATAAGTGGAGTTAGATAGAAATTAATATAAGTAGATTAATTATATAATATTTTATTGAGAGATTTTGTAGAGACTACATAGATACAAATTTGACTCTATATATGTCCATAGATAATTAGTAGGTTCAAAACTTGGCCAATAAGCTTACAATATGTTGTATATATTGGTTATAAGTGGTATAATTGGCAATATAGTACTATTGTGTTGTAACATGGCTAATAGGTGAAAGAGAAAAGAAAAAAAACACATATCACAAAAGATCTTATTTCAAAATATAATAATAAATTACTTTAATAATAAAAATAATAGTCAAAGAGGTAGTTAAACTAAAAAGTAATAATATTAACTTATTACAAAATAGACTTTTATTCACTTTTTGAGGCCATAAATAAGAAAAAAATAAATTAAAACAAAAAATTAGTATTATAAGCATTTTAAGACAGATATAAATTATATTTTTTAGAAAATATTTTTTAAAAGAATTAGATGTTGATACCTAGAGAGGACTAATTATGAATTTAGATCAAAATCAAATCAAGAGATATAAAATTGTGTATGAAGGTCAAATTTGATCTTCAATTCAAATTACAAGATGGCCTCAATTAAGAGTTATTTGTAATTGGTGGTATAAAGTGAGACAAGTAATCAATAAGAACAAAGAAGAATAAATACAAAATAAGTGAAAAGAATCTAGTTAAGCTAATATACACTCTAATCTTAGTCACAATTTATTCATTGGATTTTTATCTAATAAAAAATAAAAAATATATTTTTATATAGTTGATTTTATTATCTTTTCAATGACGTAAGAAATATATAAATTTAATTTATTATGAGTAACTTATGAAGGTTTAAAGATATCAAGTAAATAATTGAAAAAATTAAGTGAAAATATTTTATTTCAATGATAGCTTGCTTATAAATCAAGGATTTGAGCCTCACCAAAACTCACATATATAATATTAGGGTTTTTAAGAGAGGCCAAAAAGCCTTAATCTTATCTTCTTAATTATATTCAAGGTGCAATTCCTTCCTATAAAAACTAGATTAGCTATTGATTCACCTATTTTTTATTAATAAAATTAATATTTTTTATTTTTAAATTTATCATAGTATTCAAAAATCCTCAATTATTTTATATATTATGTATGGCTTTTAAATCTTGCCTTATTTCTTCATAATAGCTCCCAAGGTAGTAAAAATTTATTTTTATCAAAATCTTAAAAGTTTCTCTAAAAATTCCTAAATATTTTAAAATAATTTCTAAATTTTTTATAATATTCATATAATTCTAATATTTAATCAAAGCCAATTTTATTATTTTAATAATTTTTTATATTAATAAAATCAATATAATTCTACTAAAAATCCTATTTCTAATATAACTAAAAAAAACATGAAGTTCTTTCTCATACTTCTTCTAATTACTGACTAATATTTATAGATTTTTAATAAATAATATATATATATATATATATATATAGATATAAGAAAATATATAGAAGACTAATGTAGATATTAGTCTTAATAATTACTCCTTAATACTCAATAATAAGTAAAATTATTAAATTAACTAAAATAATTGACTCTTGTACCTTGTACACATTTCTAAATTCTTATGAATACTTAAATCATCAAAAAGACTCTCTAATACTAATATTTTCATATTTGAATAACTAAAAGCTATATTTTTAATAATTCTACTAATTAAGATTTATTAATAGAACTCACATATGGTTACAATCTAAGATTATTTGTGAAAATAAAAAAAACCCAATTCTTGCCTTTAACATGGTTAATAAAAAAATTAAAATAAATAAAGTTATAAAAATAGATATTACTATTTATTGAAAGAAATAGGATTTAAGAAGAAAAGTAATTAAACTTTGACCTATGAACAAAAATAAAGAACAAATGAATGCATTGGATTCGACATGTTTATATGTATAGCAACTTCATATTTTGTTATTAGTTCAATATATATATATCAATTATAATTCTATCAAGATTCAAATTAAAAATTAAATGATTTTAAATCCATAACAATTTAATCTAGTTCTACTAGCTACATAAGAGACGACCATGATTCAATTAAAAATACTTAACCATACTTGCTGCCTTTGCCTTAAGCCTAACATCACAATATACTAAGGATATAAGTAATCTATAGATTTGATTTAAAACTACTAAAAAAATGACAATATACATTGGTGTTAGAACCAATATTTATACCCTATACTCTTTACAATGACTTCTATTAGTTTGTGTAGGAAAGTCTTATCTATGTAATGTTTTAAATTGAATTAAATTTTTATCAAAGACTTCTTTGATAATATAAGGTTTGGTCCAAGATATATTAAACTTAGTTGGAAATTCTAATTATCTAGCATCTTGAACCATCACCCACATTCCCAGAGTAAGAAGATATTTTTTTATGTTTTTATCAAAAATCTTTTTTTTTCTTTCTTTGAGTAATTTCTATGTATTGAGTTGCAAATCTTTTAATCTCACTAAGTCTTTTTAAATGCTCTAATATTTTTTTCAAAGATTGAGAAGTATCCAATCTTTTGTCAATGGCAATGCATAAGGATGGAACTTCAAATTCTCTAAGCAAAATGGCTTTTATTCTATATACCAAAGAAAAAAGTATAGTCTTTGTAAAAACCTAGTAAGTAGTTTGGTAAGCCCAAAGTACCAAAGTAAGTTTAAGATCCCAATCATGCTTAAAATCCATCACAATTTTCGTCAATATCCAAGCAAAGATTTGGTTGACTCTTCCTACAAGACCATTTATTTGAGGATGATATGGAGTAGTCTTCCCATAATTAATGGTAAACAATGTGGTTATTTATTAAAATAAATCTATTTAAAAAAACAGTACTATTGTCACTCATAAGGATTTTTGGACAACCAAAAGAAGCTATGTTATTCTCATACAATAATATGACAGTGTATTTAGCATTTGCTTTCTTCACATCTTTTACTTCTACTCATTTGATCAAATATTTTGTAGCTTTAATGATATATTACATTTGATATAAAGACATAAGAGAAACAAGTCCAATATAGTTTATATCCCTTTTTTCAAATAGAATAAGTGGAAGTGAGAGATTTGAAGGCATTGCAAGATTTAAATCATTGTATGTATATCTTTGGCAAGCATGACAAGATATTGCAAAAGATTCTAAATTGACAAATATTATAGGCCAAAAATGGTCTATTTTAAGGATTTTTTTATTAATATTTATCAACCAAAGAAGTGTCCACCACAAGCACTTGTATGACAAGCTTTTAACACAAGTGATACATCTTCATAACTAAGATAACATCTTAAAATTCCATCAATCCTTCAATAATATAGTTTCTTGGCTATAAGAATAAAATAGATACTATTTATTCTAATCTTTTGTTGTTCATTTTTTGATAAGGCATTGGGTAGTTGTTGAATATAAAAAAATTTAAAATATGTTCATATCATGTAGATGCTACCATAACATAGAATAATTAAGCATGAGAAAGTTCATGATTTATAGCTTAGATACATATATTTGTAGATAATTGTGAAAGGCGATCAACTTATTTGTGTTATTTCCTTAATTTGTGTTGCATTGTATAATCAAATTTTGCTAAAAGCAATATCCATCTTGCTAATCTACTACTTAAATATGATTTGTTCATAATATATCTAAGGACCATGTGATCTACAAAGAAAATATATAACAACATAGATCATTAAGTTTATATAATATATCTAAAAATTTGGCAAAGCATGGTAGTAAGCAATTTGCAATGCAAGGCCTCAACAAAGGCTGATTTGATCTTTATGATGCTTGCAATGTGCTACTTCTTATAATTAATAATCTTTGTTAATTGATTTTATTTTATATACAATGGATGAAATTAATTAATGGATAGAATACTATATATTGTTAAACAAATTATAAAATTTGATATATTAACATACAAATTAGTTGCTACACCTTCAAAAGCTAGTATTATTGGCTTCAAGGTCAAAGCATTAACTCTTTTATTTACAAAAATCCAATAAATATCTAAAGTCTTATATTACTAAATCTTATGTTGTCTTCACTACTTAATAACATTTATAAGATCGAACCTTGTTTTTTCAATAAATCTTTTGGCTTAGTTCCTAGCTAAGCCTAATCTTTTGCTTTAGACTACAATAAAGCAAATTCTTTGTTATTTAAAGAAAATTTGCAACACTCAATTCTTATACAAAGGTTTATTTATATTTCTATTTGATTAGTAAGTAGAAGAATAGATATTAATTGAGAAAATAATATTAATACCAAAAATTCAATATCTAATTATATTTTTAAACTTAATGGCATTATATTATTCTAATGCAGCAAAAAACAACCAGATGTGGCATTGCCCTAAGTCAAGACATAGTATATTATTGCTACTGCAACAACAAAAGAATTATTGTAGTTGCAAGTAATATTTTCAAAGATTGAATATATTATTCAAGAGCTCTACACTTTATATATAATTAATCAATCATATATTTTACTTTCTAAAAAATTCTTAATTCCATGAAAAATTCAATCACATTAAAATTAAGTATCTTTTTTCACAAGAAAAAGTAAATATTAATATTTTATATTTAGAATATATTCTCACTTTTTATATGAAGATTGATAAATGCTTATGTAAATTAAAGCATAATATTTGCGTCATTGTCTATAAACTGACCAACATTACTAACAATTGAAGTACTTAACAAGGAAAGAGATTTATGAATTTCATCAATTATTTTGATGGTGTAGCTAAAAAGGGGTATGTTTTGGCATAATTAGATAAATTAGCTTAACATTGTTATTAATTAAAATTTACAATTATGACCATCTTGATTAATCACACTTTTTAATTACTTTATTCTAGATATTTTAGCTACCTTATTTATTGAGGACATGTAATCTTAAGATGATATACTATTCAATTCAATAAATTGTTATTTTCTTTCTTCATTGTCTTTTCAATGAAATTGTTTGATGGATTTTATATACATTTAAAAACATGTCATAATAATAATAATGATAAATATCTATTTTATTTATATTTTTGGCCTCTTCATTATATATTTTACATATTTGAGTGCAATAAATGTGATTGAATTTTTTAAATCATAAAAAAGACAAAAGTGGTATATAGAGTTTTTTTTTTTTTTTTTTTAAATTTATTGTCGATAATTGAGCATTTGATTAAAGTTTATGTGAAATATGCCTTTCACAAGTCAATATAATGTGCAAATCAAAAGAAAAACAAAGTGCTAAAATGAAATCTAAAAAACCCTCACCACAGAAGTACATATTGTACTGGGACAGTACATTTAAAAATAAATTCCTTGTATCTTATTTCTAAATATTTGGTGCAATGGAAGACTACAAGTGAGTAATATATCTATGTGTATATATATATATATATATATATATATATAAATATTTATTAGCATCCAAGCATCACAACCTTCAGCAAATATGAGTGTAATGTTTATTTTTTTCCCTTTTCTCATCATACAATACCCTTTACCGCATTATCATTTTTTCTTGAAATCTTGATATATTGTGTGAAATCTCATCATCCACGCCCACAATTCTACTTCATGGGCTATTTTACAAGATCAAACAGCTGAGAAACTTCTACGCTAGAGGTTTGCTCAATTGATTGAATAGATTTACAACGAAATCAATTAAGAGAATGGCAAATTAACGCCAGATGGACCAAGCTGCCGAACGAGACCAAATTTTAAATTGTGATCAACAATGTCCACAAGCTTCATCCAAAAGCAAGCTTGTCCACAGGATTTTACTTCACTTTTGGAGAGCACTAAACTTAATTGTCGTGCAACAAACATTGTGACTGAATCTTCCAATTGTAATGCTTCCAAAGCTTCAATTTATCCGATGGAGTTGGCTGAATTAGCATGCTGTAACTTCTTCCCCTGACCAGTCTTCTCACGTTTGTGCAGGCACAGGAATTAGATGCCGAGCATTGCTTGTTTAAGAGACTCATAACATGAACCTTTGCACACATACATATATTCTCTTTTTCCACAGATTTTACATCCTTTTGTGTGAGCCAGTGGAGCGCTACTTCTTCCTCCTCTAAGAAGCCACGGAATCCATTCCAATACATCGATGGATATAGAAATGCACTGAGGCAGCAGTGACCCATATCACGATTCTGCGTAAGAATATTCCGTCCACGGTTTGTAAAATCTTCGTGCAAGAACTTTGTTAGGTCACGCCATTTGGATAAAGTTCATGCATTTAGTTTTAGGAAGTTTTATTTATTTATTTGTTTTGTTTTTTTAATTGTGGAGCAGTTCTCATGCTTTTTTTTTTTTTTTTTTTTTTTTTTTTTTACTACGCAGTGACAATTCAATATCTACTATTAGCAGGTGGATTTTCCCGCTCTCTGGAGTTCCCTTCCCGCCATAGCCCAGCTTTTCTCAAGCAACGGCTAGACGCCGAATACGTCCTGCCTGTAGCTTTGAACCCCATTGCCAGTGATGAATCAGCTCTCGTCTCTTGCCTATGCTCCCTCGACTCCATAGCTACTCTTACCCAATTGTTAATTCTTCATCTGCTGCCCCTTTTTCGCTTCTGATTTCGTAGGTTAACCCTTCACGTCCACTCCGTCGACTGTTGTTGCGGTTCGTGCAGTTTCATTCGTATCAGCTATTCATTTTGTGCACTCGTGTGAAGTATGGATAGTTTCGAGCGCGAGAGCTGGTATCATTTTTGTTGGGTTTGAGTTTGTGTGTGGTGGTGTGCTATTCACTGAGAATTAGAGTGAGAGGTTCAAGACTCCGTTTGTTGCTGTGAAATTGTTTCACGAAGTCCTGGGATTTGGCTGGAGTTAGATTGCAGAATTTCTTCTTGGCGGTTGAGGTTGTTTTCGGACAATGGGGGCTGATAATGCCGATCCTATGGACGAGGATCGTGTCGAGGAGGTTGGAGCAGAGGCATCTGCAGATTCGCGGGTTGTTTATGAAGACTTTAGTCCCGATTACTTGAGAATCTATTATGGTATGGTTACACGATTTCTCTCATGAAAAACGTTCGTGATGTGTTCTTTCGTTCTTTTTAATTTTGAAAGAAAACAGGTTATTTATTTATTAGCCCTAAGCTGAGATTTATGATCTCCATAGTATCTCTGAGTACATTTTAGGGCTATTACGCTTGCTCAAGGTTTTCTCGTATTATTCGAGCTTCAAATGCTCAAATTGCCATTAGTGCATTTCAGTTACTTACAGGAACATTACTTCTTGTGCGTGGTTTCTCAGCGAGGTTGTTCCCGTACGCGGAGATATACAAGTGGTTGTCCTACGGACACGGTAAGGTTTTGTGTTTAAGACATACACGCATTTACAGGCTTTCTGGTTATGTCGATTGTTCACCCTGAACATCATATTTGTAGCCACTTAAATCTTTTGATGAGCAAGGTTGTGGCATATAATCTGCACTACCTACGGCCTAGACTGGGTTTATGTGCACGTGATTTTGGAGTTCTTGTAGGTGGATGTGAGTTGCGAGTAATCTGATCAAAAGATTGTCTAATTCTAGCAATGCAGTTGTTCCACTCCATCAACTCGCTAGGACGTGTTAGTATAACTAATATTATCTGCCATTTCACTCACAAAATGTATGCGGCTCTGTGTACGCTGTCCAGATGGGAAACATCCGGGATGTGATGCAACAATCATGAGTAGAAGGGAGTTTTCTTTCACACTGGAGCACGATATCTATATTCGTTACTTGTCATTCCACGATGTGGCCGAGATGGAAGCTACGATTAAGAGCAAGTGCCCCCACAAGATCGACATTGGAGCTCTGTATAATGTTGAGGTTGGTATCTTGCTTGTAAATTGTTTAAATCCTTCATATTCTCTGAATGGTGTGCAATTTTGTCATAATATCTTGAAAGGCATTGTAAGCAACTTTATATTTCAGCAAGAAAATAATTCTGGCTATTAATAAAAGATGGCATTGAATACCAACATCAGCACCTTACTTCGGATGCTTTCTATACTTTGTTTTTGTTCCTTCTTCCTTCACGGCGTGTGCACTTCAGTAATGGAAGTTCGAAATGCGTGTTTTGCTGCAGCCTGCTAAACGCTCAGCGTATGCTGGAGGTTCAGATCGAGTTTTTGCTTCTGTTGAAAGAGAGCTTGTTTTTGATATTGTAAGTTTTTAAGTATCCGCTAAGTTACTGTTTACCGAAATCTCCTCATCAACGTTCTTTGTAGACCCAGTTGTAGAACAGCAGTTCTTCCATCACTGGTCTCACCACGAGATGAAATTCTTGTATAACGAAGCTTCTTCTATTGATATGTGAAATTTGGGAATATGGTGAAACCGGCAGGATATGACAGACTACGATGACATCCGCACTTGTTGCAGCGGGGCGGACATATGTTTGAAATGTTGGCCTTTGATGAATGTGGCCATTAAAATATTGGATACAGTACTTAGAGGTTATTCTTTATATCTACTCTGTTCTCCCTCTAAATTGCATTCAAGTTTCAGCTGGAGATTGTTGTGTTGCTCCACTTGCCATATTTGGTACTCATTTAACTGCCATTTTCTGCCTTAGCGAAGTCGCCTAGGTTGAACATTACAAATTTCACATCAGAAAAAGTACTGATCATTGATGGAATAGCTCAGTCTATTGACTGTGATTTGTATGTATACATCTATTTAGGTTTGTTTTGAATATTTTAAACGACTGCCAAAGACAGAAAATCATGTGAAATTCCTTTCCGCAGAGGACTTTGGCTTCGAGCACCTTCTATGGGTCTACAGTGGACGCCGTGGAGTTCATTGTTGGGTGTGTGATACACGAGCAAGGAGGTTAATGCTTTTCTCAGTACTTCATTTCATGATTCACGATTTCCAGATCCTGTTCTTTGAGATCTCTTTATTATCCTTGCAAGCATGACATGCAATCTTAGTGTGTTACTCTGTTGCATGTGCAGATTGAGTAATGAGGCAAGGTCCGCTATTGCTAGATATCTCACTTTGTACAAGGTTGGTTGTAATTCTCATCTCTTTCGTAGTTCATGTTGCAAGTGTGAATTTCTCAGGGAGATATTAAGTGGGTCCAAGGTTTCCAAGGTTCCTGGGGACGTATGGCTGGTTTGCTGTTGCTCTAACACAGTTTTACTGAAATCATCCAATCTAATGTATTCTACCGTATTTGATTGATGTAGGGTAATGAGAATACTACGAAGAAAGTGTCGCTTACGGGGCCATCTCTTCATCCTGCACTTTCGTAAGTTGTACCTCCCCCATCACAGTAAGCATTACATTATGCTGGAAGCCTACACATCAATTTGCCTCTTCTAATTCTTTTGCAGTCATTTGCTGGAGGCAGTCAGCTAGGATTTTTATTCACGAGTTCTAATATGAAATATCACATAAATATGTCTCTTTTTAATTTTTAGTTCATTGATGTCCTGTTGCAGACGTGCATATGAGATCTGCAGAGGTTACTTTGAGGAGCACATACTCCCAAATCAGGGCTTGCTGCGTTCCGAGGAGCAATTCGATAAAGTATTGGAACTAGTGCCAGATGAATGTAAGTGGAATTCGATCCTGCTGTGGATTGGTTTCAAAATTCTGTTCAATTCTATTGCATGCTTACAAATTGGCGAAGCAACACATTTCATGATAAGAGGCATCTTCAATTTTGAAGAAGACACAGCCTGCGGAATTTCGGTCACGAAACTGTTGAAATATATCCTTCTGATTGTATGTTAAGTGAACTCCAGTGCTTGGGCCACGTGAATAGTCGCTATCTTGTGCTTTAGGTGACGTTATCAATCCGAGCTCTTCATCCGTCTTTGTGTAATCTGCAACCTTTTTTGTATGAAACTGGTCTAAGTTTTTGGTGAGAAGCAGTGGAAACTAAACATGTGTAGCAGAATCTTAGTTATGTGCACCCCTTTTTTTATTTTATTTTCTTCTTCGTCTGGTTCATCCTGTGTTATTTACCATTGGAATTCATTAGCAGCTGTAAGGACTCAGATGCGGGATAGATGGAAACGTGCCTCAACTTCCAAGGATGACGTCAGTGCGATTCGCTGGAAACATTTGAAGCAGACATTAGAGAACAAGAAATTGGTAATGTCCTAGCCCAGATATCTAAGTACATGAATACGCCCCATGTGCATTGGTCTTTAGACATTCTTGTGGGTGCCAGGGACTGGGGCTAGTTGGATGCCTTTCCATCTTTCAACGCTGATGGACTGCATTTTGGATCATAGGCTCCAAGTGTAAGAAGGAGCGTCGAAGAAATTGTTTTCTCTTACACATATCCCAGGCTTGATATAGAGGTAATCGTCTTATTCCATCTCTGTAAACGGTATAAGAGTGAGCCACGAGGCGCCCCCTCCTCCAGCTTGCTGTCTTTGTCTTATTACTTCCACTCTTTTATATTATCTGTAACCTTCCAGCGCGGCCTTTACTCAATGCTACCGTATTTTCGTTTTGGAATTCTTAATCCTGCAGGTTTCTAAGCACATGAACCATCTGCTCAAAGCGCCTTTTTGTATTCATCCCAAAACTGGTAAATATCTTCTCTCAGCCTTCGCCTGAAATGATTTGGTTTTTGAGATTTCATTCAAAAAATTGTTATTGTCGCATCAGGCGCTCGGCTTTCTTCTTCGTCTGCAGCAGTGATTGTAATTGGAATTTACTCTCGATTATTTCATGATGCTATGCATTATTTTATTCACTAATACATGAGATGTGTACCAGCTCTGTACTTTCACATCTATCTGCTTGCTCTGTATCTGCAGGTCGTGTATGTGTGCCAATCGACCCACTCGACTGTGACAACTTTGATCCAACAACTGTACCAACTCTTGGCCAGGTAAATTCTTTGCACTAAATAATTAACTACCTCAAACATACTAGACAATTGATTTTTGAATTATCATATGCATCAAAGGCGTCTAATGCCGCAATTTTGTGTTTGCAGTTATTGTATGATCTTAACAACGAAGGAGGTAAAGCGGGGCCAGAAGTGAAAGGTAGTATTTCCCGATTCTTATTAACGGATGGATTGTTTGGCATGAAATCGTGAGCACAGCATATTCCCGTGTGCGATTGGTATCACGATTTATAGCATGATATCTTCTCCGTGTGCCCTGGACATGATTTAGTGAACCAATAATGGAATTTTCAGGATGGCTGGTCATTACTACTGCTATATCATATCTTTCGTTTACATAATCACACCGTACATATTCTCAGTGAAAAGCTTGCTCTACCCTGTGTAGACTTGGAGAAAACATCACTAAACGCAGCAGTGCGGCTCTTTCAAACTAAATTTTTGGACCCACTCCAACGTGCGAACAAGGTAACGAATATGTTAAAGCAATGGCACACCGGGTTGAAGTGAAGCAAATTCCAATATCAATTGTCTAGTTTGGATCATATAGTCAATTTCAATGTGTACATATTTTAACTTATAATTGTCGCACTTGTTGACAGGCGGAAATTACATGTTCTTATCAACAGAAATTACAGCAGACCAGTGCTACAAATGTTCTTAGCTGGTGATAGTTGTGAATTGCACATTCAGTTGATTAAAAACCGTGAAGGTGAAAATAAAAACGGCATTTGTAAGACGGCAGTTGTCAGAACTATATCACACATATTATTTGAGCTGTTATGATACAAAATTATTAGGGCAATATATTCTGTCTGTTTTGATAAAACATATATACAATTTTGTTACTATGTTTTTCAAATATATCATTATTGTTCAGATGTTCACTGCAAAAGAAGAGTAAAATAGGATAGTTTTCTTTTTCATGTACGTATAACGGTTTAATCAGAGTCAGTTATGCTCTTTCACATTGTCTATTGTTCTAACTGATTGTCAGTGTATCATAATGTACACTAATGGCCGCAGAAAACGTAACATTTTCACCGTTAAATTCATCTACTCATAGATACTTCGAAAGCCATGATAATTCTTTATCATCTTTGAGAGCGAATTGTACATCATCACTGTCACGCAGCAAACAACCATTCTGTTAGAAGTGTAGTTTTTCATATACGGGTAAAATTGTTAGCTATTGTAGGTGGGCTATATGAAGTAAGTTTCAAGATTGAAATGGTCACTTACCAGGGAAAATTAAGTTGAAGTTTTTGATGGCGATGACGAATGGCAGGCTCACATAATAGTATCCTAGATACTCCCAGCTTACACCTTTACACACGTCAACTGTTATTTTTAGTGTCCAATTTGAGAGTTTATATAATATGGGTAATAAACATAGGGGAAAATGAGTTTATTTTAAAAATCGATTAAGTAAATGAGGGGCATTCACGAACGCTTAGGGGATAGATATTGTACCCCACGGTCATTATTAAATCTTCACCAGGGCAATGCTCCTTGTGTGTTACACACAGACGCATAAATGCAGATACAACCTGGGAAATTGCCACAAAAAGTTGGAATGATTTCTCCTAGTTTCTCTGAAACAGGGAGATAGAATAAATTGTACAAATGTATGTTGACACTATAGAAGATGTCGCTGACCTTCTCAAAAGTTGTTTCCACCATTGTGGTCCGGTGTTGTTCAATTACCATGGCCACAAGAAATATCTTGGAAAATTTGGAACATCTTTTCATGAACTGGATATTCAAAATGAGCAGAGAAAAATCAGAGCTCAATACACGGGATAAGAAAAACATTGAACGTATCCAGCCTGAAAATGTGTATACTTGGAAATAACCAACAATAAGATGGAGTGGAAACTGCAATCCGCTGCGTTGCTTTAGCACACAGTACGACGGAAGATCGAATGAGAGTGTAGAAGTTGGTTATTGTTTGGGGCACATATCAATGTCATACCTGAATATGGGGTGCTTGGAACATCTCTGCAATTGCTGCCTCAATATCACTCATGCCGATCAGCTTGCAAGCTATCTGTGATTCTGGTGGTTCATTGCTACTATCCTGCTGATGTACAGGAACAGATGAAGCTGGGGCTGCTTCGCAAGTAGTAAAACTCGTAGTAATGGGTTGGACCCGCATCTCAGTTATTTCTGCAGCCCGTCTACACAGTTCCAAGGCTCTTCGAGCATCTCCAGAAACTGCAGCTACCTGTAAAGTAGCACACTCAGTTAGGTCTCAGTGATAGCTCAAGTAATATGTGCAGTATTTCGACCTAGTCATCACAGTATCGTTAAACATGCCTAGAGAAGGTATTCCTGGAGATGGATACTCTCGAAACAAAGTGTTGCAGGAAAGGACCAACCTTGCGGGAGGCAAACTCAACGGCTTGTTTGTCAAAAGCAGGAATTCCCTCCAGGCGAGTTGCTAATATCTGCTGCAGCTGAGTATGAGAATAGGGACCAAACGAAATCCTATGGAGTCCCAGTCGACTCGCAATGCGGGGCAGCATTCGCTCAGGCAAATCCATCGTGTTGGCAATACCTGATTTATGGAAACACCGACTTGAACATTAAATCATGGTACAGAGGCTCAGAGAGCTGCTCGTCAACGCACAACTGGAAGATATAGTCTAAGAATACGGAGATCCGTGACAGTAGAATCTATAACTACCCACGGCATGGAGGACCAGATTAAGATACACCGTCCAAATTTTGAGACATATGGTGCGCTTGTGAAGCAACTTGCTTTGTAGTGCAGCACCTTGGAAACCGTAAGTTCATTATTAGCAACAATAACAGAAAAAAAGAGTACATACCGATTACTATGAGGCGTGAATTCGCACGACTTGGCCAGTCAAAAAGATTATAAAGGACCTACACATCAATTATATATGTAACAAGGTCAGCCCCGAAGGAAACGGATATACATGTAGTCAGTTCAAGGAATTTGCATGCGAGAAAACGCCAAGGCTAAATACCGATTGACTCCGTGTGACCAGAAGGTCAAGCTCGTCGACCAAGAGGATGCAAGGACGGGCATGCACGCCTTGCAGCGGCTTGCTATCCGAAAATCGTGCATCGAGAAACTGCAAGGCGCGCCTCCAGCCACAGTGTTGGCCGGTCAATGCTTCATGAAGAACCTGGGCACATCAGCTGTTCAGTACACGAACGTGCCTGGATTGTTCAAGTGTTTCAATTAAACGCAGAGAATTGCATTCAGTGAAAAACCTCGCAATGGGGTACTGTACAACGTCTTCATACGCTGCAGTTGAACCATACATGAATGGGTTTAACGAATTCAACCTCAGACGCAATATTGTATGAAATGACATGACACATAAATCGCCTGGGAGAAGCAACACAAGTACAAGCTACAAGATTTACAGGTTATGAATAAATACGGTATAGGCATGCTCGGGAGAGGGTAGACGAAGGCCATTTATCTCCACAAACCGATAAGGCGGCAATTCACCACTGTCCACCTTACTTCTCAGGCCCTTCATAACCTCCAAAACTGTTGCGGTCTGTAAATGTACAGAGTATTACAGTGACAGTTAGCATCCGTCGATCGTTCTTTATAAGCTTTGCTCTACACGAGAAACAGATATGACCATTGTCACAAAAACAATCCATTACTCACCTTGCCAGTGCCGGGCACACCACTGATGTAGAGACAACGTCCCAGGCACTCTTCCCCTGCTGCTACAGCGTCCTTAAGAAATGCCTCAATTTCGCTCTTCTCCCTGTTAACAACATTTCTCACTGCTTAGCGAAGATAAGAAAACACGGAGTACAGAATCACAAACATCTTAGAGGAAAGAGTGTACGAATGAAGTAGCAGGTAACTTAAAAACAATGTGTGACTTGTATCAATTAATATTTGAGGAGTTACAATGGTTGTGAAGGGAAAATGCGCAAGAGTACGTACTTGTCTCTGCAGGGCAATGACGTTGGGGCCGCAGACAGTCCAAGTGCAGCCTTAGCTTTCTCAAGATATGTCAAGGGCCTCTTCCGAGGACGAGGAACTGCCTTCGCACCAACACCTTCAATACGATCGACACGGCCTTTCCATACATTCTGGTCATATACAATGTGAAAAGAGTTACGTTTTCGTGCCCCTTAAGATACGGATCGATGCAAAAGTACCTTTAATTATTTAGATATTAGGGTAGGAGACAGACCACAAACCAGTTGATTGTTCTTGTTGTCCTTGACATGAGTAGCTCCAATTCAGAATTACGATATCAGCGTAAAAGAACAGCAGAGAGTTTAACTTACAGCAGCTTTTGGAGTGGCTTGAGTACTTTTTGGTTTTGCTTTCGGAGTTCCTTTGGGAGTTCCTTTTGGTGTGCATCTCTTTTTCTTGATATCGAACTCATTATCGAAGTCGTCGTCATCGTCACTCGACACCAGACTGTGATATTTGCTCTTACGGGATGGGTCGAAGCTCTCATCCTCGCTGTCATCTGCCTCGCTAACCTGAATATGCATCACCAACAATAAGCATCAGAAAGAGTTTTTAATCCTCATTAGTACAGAAAATACAATTCACAATGAAACTTTCACAATTGAGGAAGCTAATGAACTCACGTCATCAAATTCATCTGCGATTCGCTTGAATGTTTGGTGCCGAAAATCGTATTCGTGGCCACACATAAACACGTCGTCACCTTCATGCCCTGCTTTGGCGTACAGATCTGGTGGCATGACAAAACAATGTCTGATGATCGTATTCATCTGAAACTCCACAGAAGAAACCGTTAGAATCTTTGAGGACACAGTCTAGATTTAGCATCACGAGGATGTTAGAACTTAAGATGAAAGCACTGCAGGCAATCCAGACTCTTAAAGTTACCTCATTCTCATCAGCTATACTAGATCGAAAGAGTTCTCTCCGTCCGTGCCATGGTTGCCGTCCATCGGCAGTTTCCTCAGGTAAAGCCCACCATCGGCCTTGAAAATACAGTGTTCCTTCTTTGTCTCGCCATATCCTGCGTGGGATTACGAAGAAGAATTAGATCTACCCGTAGCTTCCGGAGACTGTGACTAAGCCTACACGAGGCGAAGGGACATTCTAGAGCTAGAACTCGACTAAAATTGACCTGTGCCCATCGAAGGTTTTGTACGCAACGATTACACTCTCGTCTATAACAATAATTGTTAGAGAAGGAAGTACGTAGTGAGTAAAACATTAGAGCCTCACATCCTTCCATTAAAGGTAATGTGAGCAGGAATCCTTACTTCTCGATTCTAGAGGCCCAAATGTCTTGCGCAATGAACCTTTCGCGAGTAGTCCTCCGTCTTCGTTTCGCATGCGTAGAGCGTTCCACCTGATGTGTTCTCTGTAGTTAGAACAAGGAAATATAGAAGTAAAAGACACCTACGGTGAGGTTCAATGAATTTAAAGGATTGCTTGACCTTATATCTACTTGACGTGTGAGAATGAAATGAACTACTGAACAGCTATCGAATAGGAACGTTAATCTATCTGATTTACAATGAGACAGAACAAAACCAAATTGTCTGGAGAGCAAACAAGTAGCATCACGAGCCCTGCAATGAATATTCCGAACTTAGCACCCTGAGCGTGGAGGCAGTTTTGACCGTGAATCCACGCTATGCAAGACAAAAAAGTTAGATGAACTTACATTGTCGCCTCTTGCCACGGCTGAACAAACTGGACACATCCAATCACCTTCTGGAACTTCCTCCAACGGTGGGTCGAGGCAACGTAAATGATACCCACCTAAACATTCATCACATTCAAGCATGATGCTTTGACCGTTCTCGCCACAGAGCACGCAATCTTCGACTTCCGCATCAGAATCAGACCATTGCTCTGCACCACCGTTAGCAGCGTTGTCTCCATTTTCTTTCACACCTTTTCGAACATATACGTCATCACCAACCCGATACTCCACACCTTCGGAGACAACCTTTTTGACATATCGTCGCAATTGCTCTTTCTGAGAACTTCCACCAGTCCGACGAGCTGCATTCCTACTTTCCTTATGCACAAACTTCTTGGTCGGCACTCGCTGACCCGGTTCCAGGGTATTCCTGTGCCTGCGTCTCTCCTTCGTCGGGGTTTCATTCAAATTCCTCTGTACAGCGCGAACAAACCGAGGAGATTTCCTCATCGACGGAGTGTCAACGACATCGTCCTTCGTCTTAGCTTTCTTGGGCGTGGACCTCACAGATTTGCTTGGAGTCGCCTTTACGTGTTTGTTCGGAGTCCCTGCTCGAGAATGGTTGCTTAAGATCTCAGCTCTCTTATCCTCGGAGCCGAACAGGCACCTTGGCTTCACTCTCTCTGTGGATGGAAGACATGCGGGTGTGGGTGGCGTGATTGTGGATGCCTTCAGAGTGCATTGCGGGGTCATTGGAGAAGATGCGACCACAGGGGCTTGTGACAATGAGGATGCTGCTGTATTCCTTACATAGTCCAGACGCGGGGATTTACCTAAAATTTTACACAAGTCAGTTTGAAACTTCAAAAGACATTCCTACGTTTTACATGCTCATCCTTTGCAGTTTGTCCACGCAGGACTCTAAGCTCATCCTAAATGTTTTCTTGTGCGGGTGTCCACAACCAAAGATGGTGAATTACAGCTGGTAGAACATTGAAAGTACTTAAATTCCAAGAAAATCGCATTGAATCATTACAAGATGATATGTCTGCAATCATGTCACACACATTGAAGACTAAAGAGGGGGGGGGGGTACTTGCAGAGGGAAGGCAGTGCCCTTTGTGCACATTTCTTTCGAAAGAGCATAACTTGTAATCTTGGAATTACTCAATGACGAAAAGCTCAATGTTTGATAAAACTTTCAAATATAAGTAATATCCCCCGTCAGACACCTAAAAGAACTGGGAGAGAAGAATTGAGGCATTTGGGTACGTCGAATTAGGCAAATCCGTGAAGGCGCAGAAGAAAACCTGGATTCGACTCCAACCCGGCATCCAAAGTTCCCCTTTCCCGCGCCCGCTTCAAAGTTTGCTTGAGACTGCTTGACGGGCCATCGTTCAAAGGATTTGGGAGCTGGATAGCTGGCACATTAGCAGAGATGAATTTAACTCTGAGACTGCCACCAAAACTACTGATCACAACGCTCTCCTACCTCTGAATGATACTAAAACTGCTCCTCACCAACAAAAGTAAGGGTAGACCGATACCTTTAGGAGACTCCAAGGTCACATTCAAGGATCCCCTCATCCGCGCTCCTCGTAATGCCTGCTTCAAGCTACTCTCTGGGCATTTCCGCCGCGGTTGAGGCTCAACGACATCCACCCCAACATTAATTGGCGAGCCAATACAAGCTTCTTTCGTCCTAGGGGACCCGCCTGTCCCCATCTTCCCCTCCACCAACGGGCTCGTCATCCCCGGAGTCATATCCTAGCTCGCCTCCACCTCCCGCCCCCTATTTCACCATACCCACATGTGCAAACGATGCATCAGCACCATCCCAACCAATCCAAGTGGCATATGTGAGTTATACCACTCCAGCGTGCCTCCCTCAAGCTCCACCAAGCATCGACACACCACCCCGAGCGATTGAATGCAACCCAGCGATAGCTATTGCCCTCGAACTCCCATGTCAGTTACCTTCAATCACAGCAAGCTCCTTACGCGCAAATTGCAATAATCCCACATCCCACCAGCGATACCAAACCGATCCAGAATAGAAACAGTCCAGCGATCGATGGGTCCTTTCTCAACGGACTCATTTGCAAGATTGATACCAAGGCCCCTGGATTGCGGACGAATTAGCTGGAGCTGCGATGCACAGCAGCGCGTGCGAAGTAGTCAAAACTGGCGAGAGCCAGAACCTTTATACAACAGAGCGGGACGACGAAAGAATGGCGGGAAAAAGACACAGTTATGGGCTGTGCCACGTCGAACAATGTACCCGTTAGTATTCGCGGGAACGTTGACGTGGGCTAGTCCAGCTATGAATTTATGATCCAACTCAACCGGATCTCCACGAATGAAAATTCGCCACGTGGTTGTCACCTTTCCTCCCTTCAGTTTCACCTCTCAAGCTGTATGGAAACATTGTGGAAATAAACTTACCTATTAAAAGGGGTTAGTTATTTTGGTGAATTTGAAAATTGCTGTAGCCTCAAATGCATTGTCCATTATAGAAAATTGATTCCACCTCCTATGCTGACGTGGAATAGTTTTAATTCTCATCACTATAAGGATGAGGAAAATTTTGATTGATTTGACGCAGTCCACCATCCACAGTGAGCGATGCTGTGGTGCTGACCCCAAACCCTAATTGTTGAGAGATTGCCCATTCGCCCAGCTCGCGTCGTTGGCTGTCCTTTGTTCCTTGTTTCTTCGAGATTGCTCCAGAATTGCGCTTCAATTTGTGTTTAGCTCGCCCCACGCTGGGGTTGCAATCCGGGCGGAGCCGAGTGGATCGAGCTGACTGGAATCTGCGTCTACGATTTGCGTTAAGCTTTGGCTTCTGGTTCGATGGGTCGCATGCGTGGTTTAGGTGTTGTTGCGCTTCATGCTGCTAGTGATTTGGATACAGGGGAGGGTTTTTGATGGTGGTGGATTGTGGTAGCAGCGGAGGGAGCGATTTGGAATGCGCGAGGATTTTTTTTGCTTTGTATTTTTGATAAGAGATTTGGTCTGCGAGAAGTCGATGCGTGCAACGAATTCATGGTCGGGAGTTAGGAGTGGGAGAATTGGAGTTGCGGTTGAACTTGCTGGCAATGTCGTCGTTAGTCGACAGCCCGCTGCGGAGGGGGCGGGGGTTGTTGCTTAGAAGCGGGAGTATCAAGCGCACGGTGGTGATGGAGACGAGGACGGGGGAGGTGTTGTTAGGGCTTGTGAGCAGAGGCCAGGCGCTTGTGGCGGAATTGCTGCGTCTCTCGCAGCACGCACCTGTGGTATTGCATCAATCATCCGCGTCGGATAGCGGAGGGAAGTACGCGGGTCTTTTGTTTGATTTCAAGTATTTCAAGTCGCCGGAAGTGTACGAGGAGCAAGTGGAAGCCTCTGAGACCCTAGCGACTCTGGACGACGAGTTTCGGGAGGAGTGTGGTAGTGTGGTGGAGCGTTTCTTTTTGCTCTTTGATGGTATTGTGAAGTATTACAAGGATTTGAGCCGGTTCATTGACGATCTGCTGCAAGATGGAGCTGGCGCGTTCTTGCAGGAGAGTGCGGAAAGTGTGCTGGAGGATGAGGAAGGGCGGCAGCTGCTCGTGGAGGCACTCATGTTACACGGCGTGCTACTGCTTTTGCTGGAACATCGGATGCCGGGAAGCCTTCGAGAGCAGCTTTTAGTGGCGCATTGTCGATGTCGAGGTTCCAGTGATTTTTTGAATTTTGAGGCAATCCAGTCGCTGTGTCGGAGTGTGCCACCACCTCCAAAAGCGAGCTCTGCTTTTGCACCGGTTGCCTTATTGGCGTCATTCCTGCAAGGGTCAAGCTCTCCGTCTGCTGCGGAGCCTAACATGATCCTCCTCTCGAATGTTGAAGAGATGTGCAGTCGGTTTCCTTTGCCCAGGCGGTTGATGAGGCTAGCTATTGCACGGTTGCGAAGTGACGATCTTTACAACCAGATGCGCCATTATCCTAACCCAGAGCACCGGTGTGCTTCTCTGGGCGGGCAGGTTGCATGTATGTATGTTCTTCTGAATTTCGTCCCGGAAATTTTGCAATCTGAGACTCTAGTAATGAAGGATATCGTGGACAAGTTTTTGCTGGGGTGGTGGGTTGTGCCAATCTTTATGGGCTTTATGGTGGACTTGTCGGTTGCATGGGATCAATACAAGGCTGCTAAAGCTGCTCTGGCTCCGATACTTGTTCCGCAACAAGTGCGTGAGGTTGGACAGGCCTACAGTACCAGAGTACCCGAGCTGCTGGTAGAGCTGCGAGGCATTCTGTCGGAAGGTGTGCTGACTCAAGAGTTTGTTTTAAGCAACATGGCAAGCCTAGTGGCATGCTTGCGTGAAAGCAATATAGCTCTGCGTTGGCTGCTCCTGCATCGGAACACTATGAATAAGAAGCTGAAGGATATAATTGTAGCTTTGGGTGGGGCGAATGGCAGTGAGTTGCTGCTGTCTCTCATTTTGGAAACAGCAACTCTTGAATTTGAGCTGAAGCAGGTTTATGGGGACCTTCTGGAGGGAAAAGAAGCACAGTTCCTGAAGTGTAAGAATCATGCAGCAGAGTGCATGCAGGAGCTATCAGATTTTTTCTCGGGGTCAAAGGTGCTATCTCGCAAAGTGAAGGACGAAAATATGCAGAATTGGTTCCTTCAGATGGGACAACAAGTGCGTGCTTTGGAGTGTAAAGCAGAAGCCTCTCGTGCTGTGCGAAAGATTCAACAGATGATTTTGGCTCTGCAGGAAGTTGAGCAGTTTCATCAGATTGAAAGCAGTCTTCAGATTAAGCAATACCTTGCTGAAACGCGTACTCACCTGCAGCATATGGTGCGCACTCTCAATGTCCAGGAAGGTGTGTTGGCTACCATTTCAGTGGTCACTGATGCATCATACGCCTGGGGCCTTATCGTAGGCTTCACTCCTCAGATCCATGCTCGCATCAATGCAGACCCTTTTACAGTTCTCAAGCTTTCCTGCTTATTTCTCAAGCTTCGATCTATCCTGGACATTCCCCTGCTACGGATTTCGCAATCTGGCAGCATGGACCTTTACTCTGTTTCAGAATATTATTCCTCAGAGCTAGTGGCCTACGTGCGGTCAGTGATGGAGATCATACCTGTTAGTATGTTTAGCATCCTCAATGATGTGATAGCTGTACAGACGAAGCAGTTGCACGAGCTTCCTTGGCGGCTTGAGAAGGAGAGTCTGCGCGATTTTGCTCAGCCTGAAGAGAGATACAAGCTGGCGAAAGCAACACACCGAGTGGCTGTATTCACGCAAGGTATCATGGCTATGAAGAAGACGTTCATGGGAGCCATAGAAGTGGATCCTTGGCAGCTTCTGGAAATTGGGATACGCAAGCAGCTGGTGAAGCAGGTTGCCACATCGTTACACACCATCTTGGTATTTCCAACGGGCGGAGTGGTGGAACTGGAGGAGCAATTACAAGAGCTTCTACTGTCATTACAAGCACAACGACGATCCATGGAATATTTTCAGGATTATGTGCATGTGCATGGGCTTCAGCTGTGGCATGAAGAATTTGCGCGCATTATTGACTACAATGCTGAGCAAGAGTGCAATGCTTTCGTGAAGAGGAAGGTTCAGGACTGGCAGAGCGTGTATCAGGATCCTGCAAAGCCCATTCCACAATTCCCGGTCCCTGCAAAAGATACCTCTATGACCAGCAATTTTATGGGGCGTTTGGCACATAAACTCTTGCAATTGACTGACCCTTCGAAGTCAATGTACCTAGCACCGATGAGTGGTTGGTTCGATGCTCAAGGGCAAGAGCTTGTGGGGTTACGCACTATGACGTTGTTACAAGCCACTTTCGGAACAGCCGGATTGACTGGATTGGATCGGCTGCTGGGCTTTCAAGTTACACATGCTATTCGGCAGGCAGTTATGCATCTCTCATACAGTTCGGAATCCAGCGAAATGAGCAATTGGTTAGAGTCCCTCCAAAATGTGTTGACTCCTAACTCGTCTATTCCCGACCCTGGGACAGTCGTATATACCGAATACTGCACTCGTGTGGGAGTTAATGCAGCAGGATGGAACGCTTGGGTGGAGAGTGTATCTCGAATCGGACAAATACAACTGCTTCGTTGTCTTCTGGGATCTCATTTACGGGCGTCAGCTAAGTTCGAATCGAGCACTATATCACATGCTGTGGACGCAATGAATAAGGCAGCGCTGGCTGACATCATGGATTCCGAAGAGGGTACAGCAAGCGGTGTGGAGAATTCTGAAGTAAAGAGCCGCATGCTGGGAGAGTTGCGAAAGCAATTGCATTTGTGTGGACTTTATACACCACTCCATTCTATCTACATAACTACCAGGCCAGCTAATGGGTGCGCTCTCCTATTGTTTCTCGTCACCATTTCCCAGCTACCAAGATATGTGTTGGATAGTCATCTGGGAACTTTGACTAGTCGAATGAAGAAGGCTGCTCTTGATTGCTGCCCACTTATCGTGGGCATTGGGACCATCCTTCAGCAGATGCACCCCTTGCACGTCACAGCCTACATTCGATTTTTGGGACAATATGTGCGAACGTATGCCGAGAATCCTGGCAAACAGGACAAGCCCTCAGCAAAGGACGGTCCGAAGCTGGCAGCTGAGGTTGTAAATGTGGTAGCTTGGGTTCTGGCTCTCGCTAAGCACATGGGCTACCCCCAAGAACTCCTCAACTCACATTTTCCTCCTCTTGTATTAGATATTATTCCAACTTGAAACCTGCTCGTGTACCATCACTGACCAAATTTGTAGAAATCCGATCACTTTCCTCTGTAGATCTTTCTTATTCAATTATACAGGAACAGTTCTGGGTCACAATTTAATGGCCCGTGATAAGAACACCTGCTGGTGTTTCATCTCGTGTACTATAGCATCACATTGATTGCTGTGGGAGATCAATATTGTATATTACGGCAAGTGGCTGCACATTCACAGCCCAACTTGTTTTCTTAAATGAAATGGTTCTGGGACTCCACCATGGGAAGATGGTTATGTCCCTGTGGTGGTGGCCCACTGCCTGAAGATGGTTAACTCAAGTTTGTCCCCAAGTTGTACATGAACATTGATACCAGAGAAAGTGCGATTAGCCTATTACACTTAATTCTTATGTTGCTTGCACCTGTAGAGAGTAGAACGAGTGCTTGTAGAAGAGGTTATCGGAGCATCTATGGAGAAATGGTTCGATTCTGGTCACTGGTAAATAAATTCTTAATCTGACGAGTATGTGTGCATGGGCTGCATGGGTCTTTACAACCAATTTCCCAGTTCTGTTTCAGGCTTCGGGATATTGCGAAGGTTCTTAAAGAGGGCTCATCAGCATGCAGCATTGGGTGCCAAAGAAGGCTTAGCCTCAATCTGCCGCATGAAGTTTGGTTCTATTGCCACTAAACTGTGATTAGGAATGACCAATCTTGGTGTTGTTGCTGCAGTGCAGTAGAGTGAAAAGCATAAGAGTGAAGCTGCAATTTTGAGTTCGGAAATTGGTTTGTTGAATTTGTAACAAGATTGGGGTTTGATCAGGGGAGGTGATGGCTGTGCTCAACGGAGGTTGTGACGACTGCCTCTTTTCAAGGTATTCCAAATTGCTTTTAGCAGGTTTGGTGTGCCCCTTCTTCTTCTGCTTGCTGCTGTTTCCAGCAATGAGCAGATCACCTCTTTCATGCCAATACTTTGCCTGTGAATGCGCATCGGGGACACCGAAAGGTCGTGAGCAGAGGATTTCTGGTATTAGTGATCTCGATTGGCTACATCAAGAAATGCTGCCTTTAAGGAACGCCGCTGGAGGAGATGATGAAAGCCCATGGCTCACATCCCGCAAGGGCATCAATCCTCGTACTCGTCAGCAGCAGCTCTTCGACCTCCGCAGGTATCTTCTGTCGGATCATGCTTTCTTTAACTAAAATCCATAAACATCGTTCCGTGAGAATTGTGTCAAAATTGGGATTGTAATAAGTGAAGACGATCTCCTTGTTCCAGGTTTCATGGTATCTCGCATTACAAGAACGGCAGCAGCAGCGCGATCGACTGTCCTGGAGAGCTACTCGTCGAACAGCACCACAGCTACTACGGAGAACCATGGGCGGGAGGGCGCGACGTTTTCGATTTTCTTGCGACTTCTGTGTCCTTGCAGCCAGGACATCGCGTCCTGGAGATCGGATGTGGCACCTTGCGAGCTGGATTGCATTTCATTCGATTCCTGGAACTCTCCCATTTCTTCTGCTTGGAGCGGGACTCCTTGTCACTGGCAGCCGCACTTCTGTATGAGCTTCCTGCAAATGGGTTACTACACAAACGTCCTTTCTTAATTCACGGAGATGATCTCCAGAACACTGCTGCGCTTCTCGATGGACCGCCTTTCGATCTGATTTATTCCAGCGCGGTGTTCCTGCACATGGCTGATGCAGCTGTGTGGAAGACCGTCTCCGTGATGGCTATGCGTTTGGCCGCCCCTCATGGCCGTCTCTATGTGTCGCACAACATCAAATTCTGCACGCGCTTGTCTGGGAGGGTGTGTGGCGCTCGTCTCAGGGAAGCTGGACTGGAGTATGTTGGTCAACAGACGCATGACAGTCTGCTTTTCAATCACTTTGAAGTTTGGTTCGAGTTTAAGCGTCGTAGCAAACAATTGTGAACATAGGATGCTGATGGAGGGTCATTAGTAGGTTTCAAAGAACACCGATGAAAGCCATTGAAGGGTGTGGAACACAAAACTCAAAGTGTTGTTGAGAACAAAGATTGTTGAGCCTCGTTGGGCAAGCCACCATTGCTGGTGCAATGTTAGTTCACGATTCAGGGATGATGGACATGTAAGATGAAGATGAACGTTTAGCGCATGATTATGCTCAGCTGATTGAGACAAAAACAATTCTTTCCTGGAATTAAAACCATGCTCCACGTACCATTTACAAATAGAAGCACCATGCGAAGCTGCCTTCACATGTGATTAAGTAAACTAATCCTGTGAAATGAAGTAAGAGATTGACCACAACAAAATTCTTACCGCCGCCGTGTAAGGGCTCCAGCGCGGCGTGGTGCCCCAGTGACAAAAGCACATTTTCTGGCATATCAGTCCATGTGTCACAACCACACACAGCGAGGCGACTAGTTATGTACACTGTGCTAGAATCCAATGTGAGGTAGATACTAGGAATTCGGAATTACATTTCAATTGTTCTTTGATTTGGGGTGTTTGAATGAAAAAGTTGTGCTCTCTCGAGATCTCTGCCCATTGAGATGTGGTGAGGATACATGTGTAGGACTTTGGTGCTTGCTGCTGAAAACAATCTCCATCATGTTGGATCCCATTGTTGACAAAAACAAATTAGAGAACTAATCAAAGCAAAAATTGGAGAACCAATCAAAGCAAAATTACTTTTGAGTAGGTCACAAGACCACCACAACAACTATGGTGTAGAGGCTCAATAGGATGTTGAGTGGAAATAATAAAACTCTAGGAAGATATATCAATTCTCTGAAATTATATCCAACAATAAAATTAACAACACAAAAAGCTTTTACTCCCCTTAAAAAGCTTTGAGGCCATAAGACAATTCTACAAATAGTTGTAATTTCAGATATGTATGAAGTGTCTGAACCTGTCAGCTAAGGCCTCCCTCAATCGGCAACCAACAGCGGAAAATGTTCCCTTTCAGTGACTACAGAGGTTCGGGGCTTCAGAACGTCCAGACAAAAATAGAACAGAATCTCTTAAGAGAGCGTAACAACAAAAGATGGCTACAAATGCTCTTCCTTGCGATCTGTCAGGCAGCTTTTCATTGAGGGTAGACAACCACAAATACCTCCATCATTACTTACTGAGCAAATGTTCAGGTTTATGTTTGTAGAGGTCGCAGGGCCAGCATCGGCTTCTCTTTTACGCGCACCCATGTTGGAGCTATCTCCAGACACAAGCACGGAGTTGATGAAAATGAAGACTTTAGTGCTGGGCAGGGGCAGCAGATCATGAAAATCACAGCAAGTTCCACTACAAATCGTATGCAAGAATAAGATGCTCATTTTGTGCGAGAGCTCTAGGGAAGCCAGCGCGGAACAAAACATGAGAAATCGCTCGTTCAGAACTTGAAGTGCTTTCACGGAAGCGGCGTAACTTCGGGCTCGCAATTTTTCACACTAAACCTTCACAAGTACCTGAAAACAATCGTTAGCTCCAAAACCGAGACGCGCATGAGTAGTGTTACCAACTTCCTGGCTTCCTTTCTTCCTACCTTTGTGTGTTCCCCATCTACGAATTCCTACTCAGCTCTTCTCTTCCTCTCTCTCTCTCGAATCTGCAACACATTGTCATATATAGACACCATTACTATCACACCCAACCATGACAATAATTGCCATTACTATCACACTCGACGAAGTCACTCCTCCCAGATATAATACACGAATTGTATTAAACCACGCGGTCATTTCTTCAAGCTGCCTCGCACCCCGGGTTTGGGCTTGTCCTCAGCTGTCGAGGCCGTCGCATGTAAGTTGATGAGCTTGTCCTCCTCCCATGGCAGCTTCGGATGCTTCGCCTCGTGGTGGATGGACATGCTCTTCACGTCAGGCGCGGTCGCCTTGCAAATTGGACACGCCAATTTCGCGTGCCCGCCTTTGTCCAATGCCTTCCTGTCCACTACCCCCGCTTTCCCTCCGCCGCGATTTGTCGTGGCCGCGTCGATCTTGGCCGCAATCTCCTTGGCCGTGTGCTTCTTCGGCTTCGCCTTCCCCGTCATCTTGCCCCGGAAATCAACCTGGCTCTTCTCCCCTCCTCTCTCACGACTCAACCAAATTCTTTTATCACCGGAATTGTTTGAGGAATCTAGAAATGGTAAGCTACAAACAATCGAGAGAACAAGGCACGAGCACGAGGAAACGGTAGTTGGAGTTGCAAGTGGCACAAACCCAGCGAGAGCCAAAGCTTCATAAAATGTCTTCAACCTCGTGAAGTCGATATGACGTCAGCCCTAACTGGCTGCGCCGGTATCCTTCGTTTACGTCACTTTCGAGGAAGGTAACTTTTTCCACCTCCCGGTTACTTTTGTCTTTGTCTCCTTCTAGGGCCTATGTTTCTTTTCCTTTTTCTTTTTCATTCTACTTTTTTTTTTGGGTGTGTATTTCCATTAGTGAATACCTAGTATTAACTCCTGGACAACTTTGGCTGCAAATTTGATTGAAAACTAGTATGGGACACAATTATTGTTGAGAATAATGTGAAGGGTTGCTACCAATTTACAAAGTAGATAATTAAAGACCTTAGTGATATTTTGGAGGATTTTAGAAATAAAGAATATTTTTATTGATTTTGTATTGAATGTTTAAGAATTATATTACCTACTATATAAAAATTTAGTAAATGAATAAATTCTTTTAAAATCAATCATGGTTTATTTTATTTTTTAAAATGAATTCTTTTCTTATATAATTAATATTAATTCTTAAATAATAACATTCCTTAAAAAGGACACAAATAGTTAGGCAATAAGTAATTATTAATTGTATCTTATATATTAAAGATAATGGTTTCTTTTTATTTATGTGCATCCATCTAAAAAGCAATATATCTATTTTTGGGATCACTCATTCATCCATTTAACAATATTTCAAGTCTTAATATAATCTAGCTCATCTAAAAGATATCACACTCTTTTATGAATCTATCCATCTATAAGGTCATTTAAAAAATTTAGCCAATTTTTACTTCAACTGTATGTTTTAATAATGGACAAAGATAGAAAGAGAATCAACATCTAATATTAATACCCAAAGCCAAACTTTATTGCCTATTTTGTATGTTGTCTACTTTACAAAATATAAATGAGATACTTCTTCAATTTTGTTGTTACAATGTTATTTTAACAAATGAACTCCTACAGCAATTAATTTCTCTTGTATAAGAATTTAGAATCCTATTCTTTTAACATATACTTTCCAAAACAAAGTAAGAGACTCTAATTCTAATATTTATGCATATATTCAAATCTTTGTTGTTTTATCTTTAATTATTTTACTAAATAATGATAATGATAAATTATTATTATTAAAATAAAAATAACCAGTTACTTTATAAAATTTATAATAATACACACATTTCTTCTATTTAAAATATGTATTGAGAACATTTGATATTCATTTGTCTAAGTTACGGTTGATTCAAAATAATTATGCATAATATTATATAAAATTTAGGTATTATTTTCAATCATTGACAATTACATACATGTAAAAGTACACATAAATTCAAATTTAATTTGTGACAACAAAACAAAGTCATGGATTAATACACAATATTATTTTGTATGGGATTAATGTTGCATAAAGACTTGTCAACAAAGAGTGAACTCTAAGAAGTTCAATAAATCAAATGTTTTATATTAATATAATAAATACTTAAAATACAAAACTTTGGCACTTCAAACTTTATAAAAACATTTCTTCAATAATAACTTGTCTTAATGTTGTGGTATACAAAAATTTGGTATCCCCATCTCTCATAAAAAGAGATGTTGGTTTAGTTTAAAATAAGTCTTTGTTAGAAATAATTTCAACAAGACCTTTTAAAAAATAAATAAAAACACTGTTTATTTTTTAAAAAAACATTGTGATAAAGAAACTTATAATAATAAAAATGTGTACCCAGAAAAACTTTTATGTTTGTAAATTCAAACGACTTGTTATATATTCCAAATTTGATGTTCAAATTCAAAAAATTACATCTTTCTCTATTATCATCAATGCACACTGTACTGGGATATCATTGAATATGTGTTTTGACTTATAGCTTTTATTTAGTATCTGAAGAGTTTAATATGAGTAAAAACGGCAATAATAATTTAATGAGTTATTAATGCCGTTTTGTTATTGGTCTTGAAACAGGTTTATAATACTAAAGATTACAATTTAAAAAAAAATCGAAAACATTTAAAAAGAAAATAAGATTTTATTTTTTTAATTTATTGAATCCGAATTCATTACATTTCTGATTATTGTTGAGCACAAACCAATAGTACAAATTACATGTCTTATGATTATATCAAAATTGGTAAATTAAATTCCAACCTTTAGCAATTAAATGCTCTGCATATTTTGTGGTTTTTGATATATCTAAATTGCCATAACATATAAGTGGCATGAAACAACAAACAATAATATCTTAAAACAATCTTTGTGATTTGAGAAGCACATTTCAATGTACAAATACATTAGACCTATAATTAATATACTTGCAATGGCCAACATATAATGAAAAATAAAATATAAAAACATCAACACATTAGTATTATAATTTAGCTACTATTCAAACAACAATAAATTCATTGAAAGGATATAAAGATTCAACTTAATCCAACACAACATAAAGTAAGTGGGCTAGACATGCTCTTCGTAACAATAGTATAAAAATACGCCTATATGGGTACAAAATATTCTACCAAATCACAATTAATAAAGCCTTACATCATATTTTAAGAATGTCTACAAGTTGCAGTGAAGTCTAACATTCACTAAATCTCTTGACCTACATCTTGCAAGACATGGCTACATGATGTCAAAAGTTCAAATAAAATTAATCTCTTCACAAGTTTTATCCAAGTTTATTTCAGTACAATAGAATTTGAGTTAACATGTCGCATTCTAGCGGTAATTTTGCAGTGTGTGACTAAATATGCAATTATTCACATATATAATTACACAGAATATTTTCATGTAGCAAGAGCCATTGTAGAACATGGAACCTCCAGTGTCTCAGTAAGCAAAAAATAAAAATAAAAAATAAGAAGAAGATCGACCCTAATTAAGGATTCGAGACAGTTACGAACCGATGGTATTGGCCGTTTACATCAGTTGATTCCAAGAGTATCTATTAACCTGGCTATTTCTCATGTATCAAATTCAAACATCCGCAACTTGATCACCTCGACGCACGGCAAGGCGTACCCACTACGGGTACTAGATTGCTTTACAATGTACGCAAGAATCTTGATTAACTGCAGAGATTTGGCACGTAGTGAGGCAACGCAACGCCAATAACCAGAACAGTGACTGGTCACTCAAAAAAATCGTGCAGTTGAGTAACATGCATTAAAGTGAAGCATACGAGCCACATCTACTTCATCATTGGCAAAAAGTTTCTTTTAAAATTTGAAGTGGCTAAATTGAACGTCTTCTTTGCTTCGGAAGCTTAATACTAACCATTACAAAATTCAGAGTGAAGACAGAAGACAAGACTGATGTAGCAGCCCTTAAGCTCTCTAGGTAAAACATACTTACAGCATTCCGAAACTACACGATCGGTGACAATTACAATATAAGACCGAGGAAATTAAGCATACGGCTGCACGAGGTAGTGAAGTACATTTATTCAATTGCCAATACACAGCACTGTCATGGCATGATAGTCCTATGATACAATCTAAGAGAAGTTCAATGCAGCTTTCATACGACAGCAAGTAAAAAAAGAACGCTAAAAATGAAAAGAATTGAACCGGGATAGAGAAATAACCTTAGAGCCCTAATAGAGGTAAATCAGGATTCCACGTGCAGAAGATTGTTTTGTCCCATGTGCCCTTGAACGATTTCTCGGCGGTTGTCAAGCACCCATTTGCCATCAACGATGAACTTGATTTCATACACACCTGGGTAAAGCCAAAGTTCTATTCTCCACAGCAGGGGACTGGGAGTGCCGGGCCTTACTGGAGATGACTTGGAGGAAAGGTCAGGCAACAATTGAATATGGTGTTCCCAACCATTGAAACTCCCACCAAGCTCAACTCGACTTCCCTCACCCCACCAATCCACCTGCGTCTGAAGTGAAGAAGAGAATAGTGTCAGAGACAAATTACATGAGGCTCAGCCAGCACAGAAGAAAGATTACAAAACGAATAAAAATGCATGATATCACTTTGAAATACTCTAGAATTAATAAAAGAGATAGAATACTTTGGTGAAACGCATGTAACACAGAATGAAAGAAATCGTTTAACATATCTTTAAAGTTCCTCGAGAAAAAATTGTTAATCTCATAAAATCCACTGGTCAAATGACCAAACATGCAAATATAGATTACATTTGTGGCATAGACTCGGTCCGACTCACTTTCAACAGGCGAATTCAACTTCTATCAGAGTTGAAGGAATGCACATAAACAAATACAACCAGAAAGACAGAAACAAACTCATCACTGGAGCACACATACTTCAACACACATGGTTCTCTGATGGAATCTTTCTTGGTAGTTGTGGCTGTTGGAGTTTTGAATGGTAGGGATCTACATATATTCAAAACGTATGCTCACAAGAAACAAAAAAAACCTTAAAAAATCAACATCTAGAGATGATTCCGGTGAAATGGACTAAATGTATAGGTAATTTTTATGTAAGAGCTACAAATTCTTTAAAATTATGCCACTGAGCATCACATCACTCCAGCATCCTTGCAGGACAAGATCGACCAAATAGTAACTTCTCTACTCCAATATATGTATCAATAAGAACTACGAGCACATCAACCAGCCTGACAAAGAAAAAAAAGCAATAAAAAGCAATAAATAAACAAAACAAAAAAAATAACCATAAAAAATAAACAAATAGGAGAAATTGTTTGCATATACACGAGAGGTATCTCCGGAATAGCCAAGGCATCCTACCTCCAAATCCAAGGAAAGAGATGGTGATGCAACAAGCAAACAAAATCAAGACTGATTTTAAACACCATAAAACGTCACAGAAGCTCCACCAGTCTACAACGCAGTCGTTCATATTTCGGCTCTGTGCTAGTAGTTGTGACTGACTTAGAAAGTACAACAATTGGTTAAGACTAGATCGTACCAATTTTAATGATTGCAGAGCTTGTTCAGCAACTTGCAGGCGTAGGTCTTTCTCAACAGCTACCAGTTTGGCTTGTGCCATTTCAGCAGAATGTTTAGCACGAACTAGTGCAAGCATTGCCTTGGTCTCCTCTAGCTCACGTAATACCTTGAGATTCTCCATCTCCCTCGCATGAAGTAGCGCTAAAAGCCGAGCAACTTCTGCTTCTGAATCAGTCCTGAAAATTACATAACATTCCGAATGACTTGGTAATGGAACATGAATGAAATCAAAGTAGAGGTATGAGGAATAAGCAGCACATAAGATACTGTCAACACTACGTTCTAAATGTCGAGACAAACTTCATTTATTAGTGAATTTAGATTATTAACATGCCAATGCAGATTGAAAGCGTAATAGCTGGATTGTTTAAGTAATGAAATACCTGCCTGCTGACAGCAAATCCTTTTCGTGTCTACTATGTTGCAAGGGCATGTCAGATGCCCGTTGCTTAGCCATGATATCAAATACTGCTTCTAGATTTCTTCGTGGATTGGCAGTACTTTCCCGAACAGGGTTACTAAAGGACAGCGTAGACTTAGACTTCAACAAAGGCTTTTGCCATGCTTCACTCCCTCTCGACTCTCCCAAGTTTCCAGTCGGTTCAATCCTCACATGTTTATCATCCTGGTTGTCGCTCGAGTCTTCGTAAGTATACAATTCAGTGGCATTTTCATCGTCACTATCTCCTTCCTCGCATGCAGCCGCAACCTAACAGTAAGCGGAAAGCAAAAATTCCAGTTTGCATGTGAATTACTCTGTAACCCTCATATTTGCAATCGAAATCATGATACATAGAGCAGCCGAAATTAGTAATCGAATTGTTCAGAAAGAAAATAAAGCTGGGACCGAGCTGTCCAACACATATCTAAATCTGCTGAAGAGTTAAATATTCAAAGACGAACATGATTGGCAGAGAAGTCAAATATACAGGAGTCGTTTCCTTACACCTACCTCAGAAAGTCTGACTGTATCCAGTGTCCTTGGCAAACCTTGCTTACTCTTCTTCTCATCATAGGTCATACAACTTGGACCAGGGTTTGTGATTTGAGTAGCATCATCTACTGTAGCACGATCATTGTCATCAATAAAATTGAGCGATCTCTTTTCAACAATAGCTTTGTGTTGAGGGGTGAAGAGAGACGGCCTTTGTTGAGGGACCAGATTAGTGGTCTGAGGTTCATCTGTTACACCCTCACGACCGATCCTAGAATTAGGATCTACTTTTGGTTTTATGACCCCATTTGAGGTTTCATAAACCTCCGATTCTGTCGAAGCAGCAACAACTGCAAAACGACAAGCATGATGTCAAGATAACATCAACAATGTACTTAACAGAAAATTTGTTTCATGTATCACCTGAAAAGAATGATTATCACAGATGTAAATGCTCGCTTTTATCGGCAATAAACCAAGCTCCTAAAGTATTCGTCCTTAGTCGAATGCCTACTTCGAGGATGAAAATGAGCAGTGAGCACTTTTCTCCAATATGCATTGACCTCTATAAATGACGTATCAATAGCAACATTAACGTAGCTAGGGTAAACTTCATCATAATAAGATGCGATGTATCTCGCTGGATTTCACAAATTTGAACTGGTTACAACTCTAGTACCGCAACCAGGTGCAGGAACTGAGTGAATCAATATTGTGACTTCTCTGGAGCATCTTTACGCCTTGAGTTGAAAGTATGAATGGGATGCTTGTGGAGGTGCGTGTTCTAAAACTAAGGAACTGAGCTATCAGCGAACTAATTTGGGTACACTGTACGTAATTTTGTCAGAAAACTAAGACTATGACTTCTATTTGAAATTTCAGAAGCATCCTCAAATACAACTGGAAGCATCTGTCAAAATGTGCAGCTAATCCCAGGAAAAAAAATAAAAATCAAAGGCACCATACAATTGCTTAAGATGGAGACTAGTCATAATCACTCAGGGGAAGCCATTTGGCAGAATTAAGAAATACCAGAATTTGGCTTGAATTGTTTTGCCGTGCCGCTACTGGATGATGAAAAATTAGGGTTCGAGAGAAGCTGAGAAATGACTTTCTCGCCTCTTCGGCGTACCGCATTCGCAAGGTCTTGCCTACCATGTCTGGCTAGCTCCCGGGTAGATGGAACTTGGTAGGGTGGAAGATCAGCGGAAGAAATAAATTCTCGCAAGTCACGCAAGAGCTTCATGTCATCCGGCAATAGTGATACTGGCTTAGAGAAAGAGCTACCTCCATTTTTGTAGCGATTAGAGGAACGACTGTTATGTCGGATGGAAGAATCTCGATAGCGTGATGAAGTCGAGCAAACATAGTGTGGCAATGTAATTGTAGCAATGAAGTCCCTGCCGTGGCAATTGATTCTTAATCCCGTAAAACCCGAGAAGTCCCCTGCAATAAATCCTACCTTCTCTCTCCTACAAAGAATACTTGGAGTACTTCCTTGCATGGTAGCAATAAAGGGAGCCATAATCGAGTGTACATCACGGTATCCTTAGCGAAATTAAACCATGGACAGACCAGAAAAAGGCGGGATTACTCAAACCCCCGGGATATTTGACACGACTATATCAACTACCTCGAGCTTCAACACCAAAGGAAGGGGACACGCCACTCGTCTCAGAATCATGAACATACACCAACGAAACAGCACGAAAGCTTTGCTTCGCATGCACAGACCACTGTAGAGCTTCTCAACAGCCACTAAAAACTCAACAGTTGCTAAAAAAAAAATTCAGCCAGCTACTTGATCATGCAAGGCTGCATCAAAAACCGCCAATAATGCTAAAAATTAAAAATACAAAAATACAAAAAAAAAAAAAAAATCCCTTGAAAACACTCTTAGTCTAGAAGTAACCTTTTCCCCCTTGCAATCCTCCCTGCGACTTCATGACCACAACTTCCCGCTGTACACACACCTGTGCTACAGCATACACACTCCACAATCCTCGCTTACCATTTCTCATTTTTGCTTTGTTTTTTTCTTTTTCTCTCACACTCTCAACTCTCCCAACTACATTCAATCACAAACACTGTTCTCAAGTAGAACAAAGCAATCGTGGAGGTACAAAAGAAGCGAAAAACTGATAGCAGCGAGAGTCGCGAGAGAGCCAGAGACAGGGCAAGAGAGTCTCCCTGCGAAAGAGAAGGACGCACGATCTAAGGGTGGATGAGCTAGTTCCACGAATAAACACGTTCATCGGATGGGGAGAAGTCTGTTCGGGATGTACGAATGTGATTCAACGCGTTGGTGGGGGAGTTCTATTTGCTCTTTTAATTAAATAACAATTCGGTCGAGAACTCGTTCCCAATGCTTCTGATCATGTGCTTTGCAAATACGGGAACAAGTCTGGGGTGGTTAGTGGCTACGGGAACATTGGACATAGTCAGGAGAATGACGAGCCTGTTTGTCATTCTCAAGGGGCTATTTCGAAGGGGAAAACGGGATAATTCTACAAAGCGGGAAGAATACAATAAACTGGTTGAAACCCTCGGAGTCCTGTGTGCATTTATCAGACATTGTCGATGACTACTCAGTCTGGAACGCTTAGAGGTTGGAAGAGGAGTGTGATCTACACTCCCATGTCTAGATTAGTCTGTCATGATTGAAATCATGCTGTTTCATGGGCACAGAACTGCGTGAGAATTGGAATATTGACTCAGCCTCCACGTGGAATGCAGTCTTATTTTAAAATGACCAGTACTTCGAAGGGAAACGATGTAAGCTACATCGCTCCAAACGGCGAAGAAATTAAGTCTGGAAAGCAACTTCTCAAGTTATATGAAAGCTCTGTTGGTGATACCCAACCTCCGCCGTTCCCTCATCCACGAGACATCCCCTCCACGTTTGTATTAGGGTTAAATAAAAAGGAAAGTTACCTAATGTGGCGGGTAAACTTCCAACGTGTATAATTGAGACACAACTTGCATAATTAAAACAAATGGCATAATCAGGACTTACTATGTCAATAATAAATAGCCTGATCGAAATAATTTTATAATACTATGATCTAATAAATACATGAGACATGTTTAGAAAGAAGTTTAATATAGGAGACTAATAATAAATTATGTTATTGACAAACAAGCTATATGACATTTCAATGAAAGAGAGAGAAGATATAAGTACTTATCTTATTAAAACCATGGACATGAAGAATTAATTAAAGACCTAGAGCTATTGAATTACTTAAATATAAGAATACAACTAAGAGAGCTATTGAATTACTTAAATATAAGAATACAACTAAGAGAGCTATTGAATTACTTAAATATAAGAATACTGTCATTTTCTAATCTACCATCCAAATCTATACAACATCAAAAACATGAGATCATATTTTTGCTACATGCATGGAAGACCAAATCACATAGCTTATAACTACTAGCAAAATCAATATTAATATAGCAATATCAACTATGTAGAAGAAAATATTTATAAAAGATATGTTAAAGAAATGTTAAGGATATGAATCTTGAAGAACCAAAAACTCAATATACTCTTGTATAATTCAAAAAGAATAGATATTCACTCAAAACTAATATAGTATTGAAACTGCAATGGCTATTACCAAAGACAAGAAGAGCAAAAAGTCTTGAAATAAGACTAAGGACTAAAAAGGCATTGAGAAGAGTGAAGAAGGCTTCTTTCTTGCCTTTATATATACTTTCTAATGAGAAGTTATGTGGTGACTTTCTATAGGACATACTACACATGTCCAATTTGTAAGACAAGTGTCTTAACTTGTAAGGTAAGTTTCCTATATGTGCGCCATATCATTAGCTTGTACTACAAGCTATCAACATGTACAACACTTAACTAATTTATTGGCCAAGTTTTTAATCTACCAATCACTTGTAGACATGTTTAAAGGTAAAATTGCATCTATAAAGCTTTTCGAAGCTTATTTATAAGATATTATTAAATTATTTTTATTTTTATCTATTTATAATATTTAAGTAATTTTTGAAATAATGTATATGTCTATGACAAGAAACTATTGAAGCAAACTTTATCAATTATTAAAACAAAAATTGATATATTGATTTAAGAAATTTTAAATCAACATACCAATTTTTGCTATATGCATAAGATTCTAAGTAATCAATTACTTCACATGAGAGATCTTGAATCTTCAAATGATAGATGGATAGAATTCTAATAGATCAATAAAAATTATACATAGCAAGTTCCACGAGATTAAAGCAGTTAGATCCATTAATATAATCTTAGGTTTTGGAGCAATTAAAAATTACATAATATTTTATACATGCTAAAATTGACTTGTAACTTGATATCATTAGAATCATTGAAAAATAATGAAAAAATAGCCATGTTTTCAAAATATATATATATATATATATATATTGAATAATGAATATAAGAAAAAAATAATAACTATAAGTAGTAGAAATTAAAACATTAGACTCTAATAATTTACAATAAAACAATAGATTTCAAAGCTAACTTGATTATAATAGAAGAAAATGTAAGATTGTAGTACAAAAGATATGGGTACTAATACTACTTTGGCTTTCAATATTTGTTGTGAGTTAATAGAATGAAAGAAATGCTGTTGTTCAACACCATTTGAGAGATATGCAAAGATTGTTTGACATGATGACATGCAAAGAATAATTTCCAAATGCCTCACCATACAACATTAATAAGTTACTTCAAATTATTCACTTTGACTTAATTAGACCTATAAAAACACCTTTTTAGAGAAGATTGAAGTACTTTCTTGTCTTCACAAATGATCACTCTTGTAAAAATTGATTGTATTTCATATGCAATAAAGATGAAATATTCAATGAAAAATTGAGAGTTTAGATCATAAATTAAAATAAATAAATAAATAAATAAGAAACTTGAGAATTAATAGAAAAAAATACATAACATATGAATTCAATAGCCTCTTAATTGATCATAGAAGAAAGAGACTAATTATTATAACTTACACCTTACAACAAAACAAGGTTAGTGAATGTTGAAATAAAATATTAGTCAAAAATGCATACTTAATGTCAATTATATACCAACTACCTAAATACCTTTGAATTGAAGCTATGTATACAACCAATTATCTAATAAACCTAAGCCCTAGTAAAGCCAATTGTGGCATAATTCTAAATTAATTATACTATAAAATTAAACGACATATAAATCATCTTTGAATCCTTGACTTTGTAGTATACTTGTACATATCAAAAGAAAATTGGTCAAAAATTGAAAAAATAATCTATCAAGTATGTATTTTTAGAATATAGAAATTAAATAAAAGTATATAATTTTTTTGATTCTTTTCATTGCAAAATATATATTAGATGTGATGTTGTGTTTGATGAAATACTTGTAGGATTTGACTACGTCAAAAACCACTTAGCTTCTATAAATAAACTTGAGTTGTTTCTAAACATAAATACATTACTTTAGGATTCAATTGAAAATATCAATTGATTGATGATTGATCAAACCTTGATCCTTAGGTATATTGATTATAGAGATGACAATATCTCAGATCCTTCTTTGTTCACAAGAATAAGTAACTCATTCTTTCTTATTCCAAAGAACACATCTAGTTGTATACTTCAGCCACATCTAGAACTAACTCATTAAAAGAGATATTCTATTTAAAATAAAAACTATAATATAAAAAATAAAGATAATTATATGCTTAAAATAAAATATAACATATAATCTATAAATTATAATGAGGCAATTTAACATGATAGATAAGAAGAAGCAATTAAATAGGAGGTAGATTCAATTTGGAAAAATAAAACATAAAGACTAATAGATTTATTAAAAGAAAAGAATTCCAATATCTATAAGATAGAACTACAAAAAAAAAAAATCAGTGTTTAATAGGAATGTTGAAGAATTGAAAGCTTATATAATAGCTTGAAGATAAAAACAAGAAAAAAAAATCATTTCTTCAAAACCTTTTTATATGTAGTACAATGCTCTACAATTAGAAGCATAATAGCTTTGGTTGCCAAAAAAATAATAGAAACTATGGCATTCAAATGTTAAAATAAGATTTTTAAATAAAAAACTAAAAGAAGAGGTCTACATAATGTTATTTCTTGGATTTGAAGAACAAGGATGTCAAAAGTTTACAAATTCTTTTGAATAAGAGATATATGGCTTTAGACAAGTTTACAAATTGTTGAATAAGAGATATATGGCTTTAGACAAGTTTACAAAGTTTGATATAATAGAGTCAATAAATATGTACATGACCAAAAGTTTTAGAAAAGTAACAAGGATCCAAATATGTATTTTACAATATATAATGGATAATATAATATTATAATATTATACATAGATGACATTATTTTTATAAAAAATAATAAAAATAATATTTAAAAGCTTAAAGAAAAATTGATGACTATGTTAAAAATGAAAGATCTTTAGAATGCTAAATTATACTTGGAAATTAAGCCACAATAAAATAATGATAATATCTATTTTTATCAAATATAATAAATCTAAATTTTATTTCAATAATTTGGATTAAATCAATGCAAAGCATCTTTTATAGAAAAAAATTAAAAAACTCAATTATAATATAAAATCGAGACACTTGAAGCTGATTCTAAATTATATTAAAGTTTAGTTGAAAAACTATTATATATAATGATTAATTTCTACAACATACAATTTGTGGTTAGAAGAATATGAAGATATATGAACAAATCACAATTTATATATCATGTTGCTATAAAAAAACAAAATTTCTAAGGTACTTCATAGATAAAATGGATTATAATATGTTTTATTCCATCAACAAGAAACAAGGTTTTTTTTACCTTTGCCAATGTTTATTGAGCAAGGAATATTGATTCACAAAAATCTACATTTAGAATTCTATAAAACTTATATCAATATCAATTGTATTGTGAGATAAGCTTTAATAAACTATAGAACTGTTCTTTGCAAATGTAAAATATTGGATCTTTTTTAAAACCGCCTATAATATCACTTACTTCCAAAGATTGCTCAAAGAATTGAAATTATATAATAAAGGTCAAACATTACTATTATGTGATAAAACGAGAAGCATTAGATTGATTATCAATCACGACATATATCACAAAATAAAATACATTGAATTAGACCATGTGTCAAGGACACGAATTTCAAAAAACT